GTATTGTAAATTGTAATAATGGAAGGATACAATCACTTAAGTAATAAATGAAAGTTGTTTTTTTTTTTGTTTTTTTGTTTTTTATTGCTGAGTTAATTGCAGACCATGACACAGGATCCTGTAAACAATGGAAGCACACAAGCAAAAAAACTAACAGTAAACTGAGTAATGAATGTCAGCGTAGGTTCAGATATTGGGAATGAGATAGAAGGTCATGTGAGTGAGCAGTGAGGGAAGTACAGTGTATTTGAAAGTATAACTTGTTATCCAGAGTGAGAGCTTTGAAGTATATAGATAGAGTAATAAAGTCCTTAATAATACTTTATAATTATAATAATCACTTTGTGAGTAAATGATGACTTATCCAAGAATGTGTATCAATATATAAAGGAATTGTATTAGTCATTTACTGTAAGCAGAGTTGATAGCCAAGAGGTCAGTTTGATACAGTCGCCAGAGTACAAGGTCTTGGAAATAGTGTTGTCGGGTTTATTAAGTATACAGCTGTACAATGGGGAGTTCCAGTGAGCGGTTTCATAATATTATAGCTGAGGTAAGGAGCCAGAAACTAGCCTTGTTCAAGGAGAAAAATGTGTTCCTTTACAACCACTTTGGCAGAAGGATTTATTGGGGGACAGTAGAATTTAGTTAATGCTGCTTTTCGGCTCAGCCAAATTTGGTACCAGAAAAATAGGGAAAGCAAACAGCCAAAACGGTAGCAAAAATGGCGCCTAATGTCTATACCTGTGCTGACATGCAAAGCAGCTACAATATTCACTAGCTTAAAGGACCACTAAAGTCCATGCCACTTCATCTCAATCAAATGGCCTGTAGTGGTCCTGTAAGTTTAACCATGCAATGTAACACATTTCTCCCTCGCAGCGCCGATCTCCTCGTTGCAGCTCTGCTTCATGGGAAGGCTAGTGAGCATGTGTGGCAAAAGAAGGTTTACTCCACTAATATGTGGCAAAATAAGGTTTACTCCACTAAATTGTGAAAGCACCTCTAGTGCCTGTCAGTGTGGCAGCCACTAGAGGCAGGCTAACCCTGCAATGAAAACATTTCCATTCCTGCAGAAAGGCAGGGTTAAAACAGGGGGCACATGGCCCAAGATATTTAGATTAAGTGGTCTAGGTGCCTATAGTGTTCCTTTAAACATTGTTTATTGATTATATAGGTATTACACTCCTTACTGAATGCCACTATACTTGACACTGGGTCCTACAATTAAATGTTAAAACAGGGGGCACATGGCACCCAGACCAATTTATTTAGATGACATGGTCTGGGTGCCTATAGTGTTCCTTTAAACACATCTCAAGTGGCTGTCATACCAATAGCCACTAGAGGCACTTCTTCCTGCAATAACCAAGTATAAATTGATCACGTGACTGTAAGCACTGTAGGAAAATATTGATTCAATGCATTCCATTGTGGTAGAAGAATGGGTGCACAGCACTCACTGGGCATGTGCATCAGGTCCTCGATGCTCCTCTATGATTGGACTAATTCTGATGTGGCTGGAAATAGAGAGGCAGTTAGCAACGAAGGAGCCACAGCGCTGAAAACAAGTTAATTAAAAAGGCTTTTCAGGGGAAAATCAGTGAGGAATTGGTTAAAAAAACAAAGACCTACTACAAACTGCATATTATACTGAAGGAAGAGGCTTGTAATTTCCAGAGCACAAGCAGTAGTCCAGAGGCACATTGTAAATAAAATCTAGAAAAAAATTTATAAAAAATATTTCACAAATCAGCAAAACTATAAATAGGTAAGTCAAAGTGGGTATAAGTGACAATGTCAGTAGCAACAAGGCAAGAGGAATTTTTATATTATATTTTCCTTTTTTAATTCACTGGATAATGAGGGGTTCAATTGTTCCTGTCAAAGCTGCCTGGTATCTTTGCAAATGATGCTTTATATCATCACTAGTGAAATGACCATTCACTCGTCCCCTACTCACTTCCTTGCCACACAATAAGCACTCTGCCTTCTGGGCAGGGCCAGACTGGGAATTAAAAGCAGCCCTGGAAAAAAAATATTTACCAGCCCCATAATGCGTTGTGCCAGCATAGTGTGCAGATACAGAGTTAGAAAAGATAATTTAAGATTAAAAATTATTACTCCAACTTAAAAAAAGCACTCATAGGCTTCAAAATAAACAAAAGTTCAGATTTATTTTAAGCAGACGTGCCTTTGCATGTAATCAATGTTTCAGTCCAACTACCTTGACATATTAAGGAAAGCTTGGTAATGGGACCGACGTAGCCGTCTGTGCTTGCGTGAGAAGGACCCAGAAGAGCTGCAGGCTGAGCTCCCGGGTCCTCTTCCTCCCTCCCCTCCCCTGGAGAGCCTCGTGGGGGGGGAGGCGGCAACGGAAATCCACCAGTGATATATACAACCCTATGTTCTATGTATGTCTCTTTATCTCCAGCCCCTGTGTGTGGCTTTTTGTCTCCCCCCACTGCTCCTCTGTGTTTGTCTCCCCTCTCCTTCCCAGTATCTCTCTTCCCCCTTTGCCTCTTTCTCCCCCTCCCCTTGTGTGTGTCTCTCTCTTCCTCTCTGTCTCCTTCTCCCCCTTTCCCTGTGTCTCTCTCTCCTCCACATCTCTCTTCCCCTCTGTCTCTTTCTCCTCCCTCCACCATCTCTCTATACCCTCTCTTTTTACCCCTGTGTCTCACTCTTCCCCCTCTGTCTCTTTCTCCCTTTTTTCCCTGTGTCTATTCCCCCTCTCTGTTTTATTTTTTTCCCCACTCCCCTTGTGTCTCTTTATTCCCTTTTTCCCACCCCCCCCCTTTACCGAGAGACTTCTGGGGGGGCGACTGCGTTCCACGCTCGAGCCGCCGGGCCGGGTGGCAACCTCGCCGGTCCAGCGGCACTCCTGTCACTGATGCAGAGGGCTGAAGGAGGAGGAGGAGCATGTCTCTCTACCAGCATACTGTGCTGGGAATTGTGGGAACCGCGAGGGAGACATGCTCCTCCTCCTTCAGCCCTCCGCATCAGTGACAGGAGTGCTGTCGGACCGCCCGGTGACTCCAGGGTGGAACATGGCCGGCCCCCTCAGAGTGTGTGCCCCCAGACCGGCCACCCAGTGGTACATACATGCGCAGCGCAGCCCCTAGATGCCGCGTCCCACCGGGAAATTTCCCGGTACCCCGGTGGGCCAGTCCGGCCCTGCTTCTGGGAGGCACTCACATTGATCCCAAAATTAGCTTTGGCAAGATACATTAGCCCTCACCCTTTATCTTGTGGTTGATAAATATGCAGGTGGATAGCATTGATGGCAAACGTTTGCAACACTAACCTGTACACTAGCACAAGGTTGATTATTGCTAATTGAAACATGCTGCTGATGCTGGTACTGGTGCTGTTGATGATGGTGGTGTTGGTGGCAGTGATGGTAACATTGATAGTGGGTGAACTACTTGTACCAGTGGTATCAAGTGCAGCTGATGTCACATCTGCTTCTGTTGGAGGCGATTCTAATGGCTCATCATACTCCGCGTCGAGTAGGACCTGGGCCAGAGATAAAAGTACTATGTCTGCAGTGAGTGGTGAAGGAAACAGAATTCTCATCACGGTATTCATCACCACCACCACCTCCAACAGATATTGGGGCCACCACTTTGGTACGTTGCGTTAGCCTTCACTAACAAGTGGCTCTGATGATGGGTAGTACTAGAACATTATTTTTGTATGAAAACATTAAAAATGATTTAACACTGAACATTCCAAACTCCATTGCTGGTACATTCTCTCTCAGCATCTTTACTTATTTAGTACCTGGAGTCCTACAAGATACTAGAGAAGTACATCTAAAAAATTGGCCATCAAGTGTAACCTCTCAGTTTGACAAATGTATGTAGTTTTGTGATAAACTATCACAGTCTAATGATTAAGTAGACAACCATAGGGAAATTATAATGTGCATTAGGGGTTGCAGGTTTTTTATTTTTTTATTTTTTTTTATATTAACAGAGTAATAGATTTCTAACAAGCCATTTCTTTTTCTTAGGCATGTTGGGCTGATGGTATATTGAAATAGCTTGTTCTTGTAGAGTGGTACGAATACTGGGAGCTAATCAACAAATCCCCAGTTTGGATTGGCTTCTGACATCACACTTGCATGGGTAAATAATAATGATCACTAATGGTTTAAAAACTATACAATCCTATGAAGGTGGCTACACTGAAGAACTGTCAAACCTTCAAGTGATCAGATGAAATAATGCATATCTCTTGTTGGAGTGTTCCTTTGAACATCTTACTCGTGTGTCTTATGTTAAAGTAGGTAATAGGTACCAAAAGTACAATAGATTACTTAAAAAGTAGAGTTTCTATCTAAAACCCCACCTAAACCCCTTGTTACCTTGTACATATGGAATGAACCAATCCTTAATTCCCTTTCCATAAATGTATGTACCACTTATCTGATTTTACATTGCAATGCAATTTCATGTTTTTTGCAAGCTACACCCCCCCCAAAAAAAGCCACCCCATTCCGTGATAATACCATAACCGAATATTTGACCATTTTTATATATTTTTTTATTATTATTGCTATGCCTTCTATACATAAATAATGCTTCTGCTTCTTCTAAATAGAAGCACACTATGAAGGGACAGCATTTACTTGAGATTAGGTGGATATCCTTTCATGGTGCTTCACAAACTGGGGTTGTGTTGCTTCCAAGTAGTAGATAAACAGAATAAGGTCCAGGCATGCATGGATAATCCAAATTAAAATTTATTTGGAAAATGTTTTGGCTCTGCTATAGAGCCTTTATCAAACAGCATTCCCAACAAACATACCGTACATTTATAATGCCACAAATAATAACAATTACTTACACATTTGTTATCACTTCAGATGTACTCATCATCCGCAGAAATGACCTCTAACACGCCCAATGTGAAATATTGCAAGATGAGCGATACAATATAATCTTTAAATTATTTTATTTTGTCAATCTTTTATCAAATATGAACATAAATTAAAACTTTTTTAAATTGTATAAAAAAAAAAAAAGCAGGGACAAAGATTTTTGAAATGAGCTTTGGTGTTTTATTGATGTGAACAAAAGCACAATATCAATTATCAATAGCAACTATGAAAGTAAATAGCAAGACAAATTATTAATTCTTACAATATTTGCTGAGCAGACACTGATTACAAGATATTATAACCAATATGGAAACATTACCGTATCAGCTATTATCTACATGAGTAGGGGTGATCTACTCATGAAGATTGAATTAGCATGAAGATGGAGGGAAGCAGTACCTGCCACACATAAGAATTGTGCGTGTTTTGTTGTGTCGAAGTATAAACAGGAATGGATGGTCAACAAGGAACTCATCTTTGTGCATTAGAAGCCTCTCTTTAGTGACATCTGCTGTCTCAGTGCCATCTTCATTGATCTCAATACAAGCTTTCTGTATTGCCTGAGACAACACAATGCCTTTACCTTCTGACATGCCTGAGAAATCAGATACCTCTTCATTAAATGCATCATCCAACCCCAAACTCTTTAAAATGTCCTTGAGGTCATAGCTGCATTCCATCTTGAATTTGGGCAAACAGAGTTTAACTTTGCTGTTGGCCATCATGCTGGGGTTGGTCCAATGGACATACTTTTCGTATGTAATATCATGTTCCAACTAAAATATAGATGGGGAATAAAGGACTGTATTAAGATAGATAATTATTATATGATTCATTTCGATATATCAAAAATTCTTAAGAACACAATCAAGCTAAATTAAAAAAAAAAAATCAACATAAAGATTAAACACCAAATAATATATTAATTAGATGATTTAAATGATGTAAAACCATAAACATTAAACTAACTAATGCACTTAAGTACTAAACCAAACACAAAATTTAGCAAATTATGTTAAAGTAAATCTTTGTCTAAGAAATATATGCACTTTCACTTTTGATATAACATAATGCACTTGGGTTATTATAAATAACGAATACTTAATTGGATATTTGTTAATTTAATGATTTAACCTCCACATGAGAAAAAATAAAAGGGAGATTGACACCAATATAGACCTTTACAGGGACAGTTTGAAGTTTTCCATTTAGAGGTTTGAAGCAGTCCTGCATTCTGATGACGTCACCGGGGGCCGAGGAGCCGCCAAATCCTATTCACAGTGGCGTACACACAGCCCATGGGGCCCCGGTCCGAAACTGATCCGTGGGCCCCCCCTTCTACCCTGACCCTCTCCCCCCTGACCGTGCCCCCCCCCCGACACATACATACAGACACAAACACACACCCTCTGACAAACTCATACATACATAGACACATACATACACACATGCAGACACATACATACAGACACAGACACACATACATACAGAGACACAGACACACATACAGAGACACAGACACACATACATACAGAGACACAGACACAGACACACATACAGAGACACAGACACACATACAGAGATACACATACAGATACACAAACACATACATACAGAGACACAGACACATACATACATACAGAGACACACAGACACATATACATACATACAGAGACACACACAAAATGTTTCCTACCTTTTGTTACTTTCCCTGGGATTCAGTGAGGGCTCATCCTGATGGGAGTCAGAGTTCCCACTCTGACGCCCTCCTCCTTCCTGCATCCTCCCGTGCGGGCTGATAGCTGGGAGGAGTGACCGGGGAGTCACTTCCTCCCAGCGTGGGATGTCATCACAGGGGGCCCGGTCGCGCTGTTAAAGTGCCCAGCGCAGTCCGGGCCCCCTCACAATCCATATCCATCGGGTGGCCCTGACAGCATGGGCCATCCGATGGACCCCTTAATATGCGGCCACGGCGGTTTGCCGCACGGTTCGGGGCCGCAAAATATGGCAGCTGGTACCTGGTCGTGGGGGTCCGCAGGGCGGCCGGGCCCCCTGGAGTGCCGGGCCCAGTTGCAGCTGCAACCCCTGCAACCGTGGTATGTACGCCGCTGCCTATTCATTATTTAAAGAGACACCAGAAGACGCCAACAGTTATGTTTCTATGCTAAGATAAAGGATTAGATGTAATCTAATAGTTTTCCAGGAAATATACCTAATAAAATGGTTATGATGACAATTATTTATAAATCAATGTTGATAAAACACAATTTTATAACATGACAGGAGGCTTCGTATTTGCTTAAGTCTCTCTTTACTTGAACTCCACAGCAGCACAGAAAAACAACCAATCAGAAAAAAGTTAGGTACTATAAAACTCCCCTCCCCATGCATCATTTCCTCTTTTTTTGCTGCTCCACAGTCAGTACAGGTCACAGTACCACTGCCTCCTGCTTATAGTTGGTGGCTTTGGGATTTTATTGCTTGAATATTCAGTTTTTTATTCTTATTATGTTGTGGGATTTTATGCTTATAAATGCAGTATTTTAATAGTCCTTGTAGGATTCTTATTCTTAATGCAGTATTATAATAGTCCTCGTAGGATTCTATGCTTATAAATGCAGTATTATAATAGTCCTTGTAGGATTCTATGCTTATAAATGCAGTATTATAATAGTCCTTGTAGGATTCTATGCTTATAAATGCAGTATTATAATAGTCCTTGTAGGATTATCTGCTTATAAATGCAGTATTATAATAGTCTTTGTAAGATTCTATGATTATAAATGCAGTACTATAATAGTCCTTGTAGGATTCTATGCTTATAAATGCAGTATTATAATAGTCCTTGTAGGGTTTTATGCTTATAAATGCAGTATTGCAATAGCCCTTGTAGGATTCTATTCTTATTACGCAGTACTGTAATAGTCCTTGTAGGATTCTATGCTTATAAATGCAGTATTATAATAGTCCTTGTAGGATTCTATGCTTATAAATGCAGTATTATAATAGTCCTTGTAGGATTCTATGCTTATAAATGCAGTATTATAATAGTCTTTGTAGGATTCTATGCTTATAAATGCAGTATTATAATAGTCCTTGTAGGGTTTTATGCTTATAAATGCATTATTGCAATAGCCCTTGTAGGATTCTATTCTTATTATGCAGTACTGTAATAGTCCTTATAGGATTCTATGCTTATAAATGCAGTATTATAATAGTCCTTGTAGGATTCTATGCTTATAAATGCAGTATTATAATAGTCCTTGTAGGATTCTATGCTTATAAATGCAGTATTATAATAGTCCTTGTAGGATTCTATGCTTATAAATGCAGTATTATAATAGTCCTTGTAGGATTCTATGCTTATAAATGCAGTACTATAATAGTCCTTGTAGGATTCTATGCTTATAAATGCAGTATTATAATAGTCCTTGTAGGGTTTTATGCTTATAAATGCAGTATTGTAATAGCCCTTGTAGGATTCTATTCTTATTATGCAGTACTGTAATAGTCCTTGTAGGATTCTATGCTTATAAATGCAGTATTATAATAGTCCTTGTAGGATTCTATGCTTATAAATGCAGTATTATAATAGTCCTTGTAGGATTCTATGCTTATAAATGCAGTATTATAATAGTCCTTGTAGGATTGTATGCTTATAAAGGCAGTATTGTAATAGCCCTTGTAGGATTCTATTCTTATTATGCAGTATTGTAATAGTCCTTGTAGGATGCTATGCTTATAAATGCAGTATTATAATAGTCCTTGTAGGATTCTATGCTTATAAATGCAGTATTATAATAGTACCTGTTGGATTTTATTCTTATAATGCAATATTGTAATGTCCTTGTCGGATTTTATGCTTATAATGCAGTTTTGTATAGTCTATGGATTTGTGGGGGGGTCCTTGGGGTCCTTTTATCACCTCTATCCCCTTGATCTTGTGCCCCTATCCGTTATCACTCTGTGTATACCCCATTTTATTTTACTTTCTCCACCTTGGTGGTTTTTGTGGCGGTGTAGGTGCTGCTTGGGGGCCTCAGGAGGCAGACCTAAGCGTTTGCCTCCTCCGTTCCCCGAGCTCCAGAAACGCGGAGTTGGACACGTATCTAGGACTTTGTTTCTTCCAAATTATGTTTTTCTGACTTTATTCTGTTTTTGTCGCAGCTTGAAAGAGGAAATGATGAATGGGGAGGGGAGTTTTATAGTACCTAACTTTTTTTTCTGATTGGTTGTTTTTCTGTGCTGCTGTGGAGTTCTAGTAAAGAGAGACTTAAGCAAATACTTGCCTCCTGTCATTAATAAAATTAAGATTATAGGTACACTAAAGCTAGCATAATCTACAATACTCATATACATTAAAATCTGCAAATATTGCACCAAATATATAAAAATGCTATTCTCATAAAATAGATAAGAGGATTCTGTGTTTTAAAACTTCAGTGTTATTAAAAGGAGTTACTTAAAGTCCACAATATTTTGCAACTTTGTATAGTCTATTTGGATACAATTGCAAAACAAGTTCTCTGAAATGTGAGTTAGTGGCAGTTATCCCAGTTACTGTGTTAGCTGGGGTATATCTGCTAAACAAGCGATATTACTATAGTACAAAAAAACAATCTTGCTTCTTCAGATGATATATAATTGTTATGCTGTACACTGGGTTTCTCTGCAATTAACTGTGAGCTTCAAGATCACATAAAAGATCCCAAGTATTAGAAAATATCTTCATAGTAAGGGTTACTATTTAGAATTTGATATGTTCTGTTGTCGCTGAGTAGTCTCTTATTTTCTCTTTGATAATCTTCTAAATTAAGAATTACCAGGCCTCCACCTCTATCCGCTGCCCTTATGACTATTTGGTCGTCTTCCTTCTAATAAAATTCCAACAAGAACTCAAGACATTATTAGAAGAAGGACAAGTAAGAGGCATTCTCAATAAAAAAAAGAATATGACTATCTGTATTGCAAATTCCCAAGAATGGCAGTATTCTATCATGTCCCCAAGATACATAAGACTCTCAACAACCCTCCAGGACATCCAATCATTTCAGGGATTGGTTCTCTAACTTCAAATTTGTTGGAAATAAGTAGACAAATTTCTGCAGACCATGGTTACCAAACTCCGATCCTATTTAAGAGATACCACACACATTATACGAATTTTATCAGAAATTGAATGGCAAGAGGGGTACATCCTAGCAACGGCGGATGTTACGTCACTATATACGGTGGTAGAGAACCTGTAAGGGTGCGAGGCAATACAGTATGCACTTGCCACTTTCTCAGAACTAAAGAATGATCAAATAGACTATATAGTTAAATGTGCGGCATTCATTCTTAGCCATAACTTTTTGGGGCGCTAACAACCAGCACTACTTACAAATAGAGGGAACGGCCATGAGAACCAGATTTGCGCCAAGCTATTCCAATCTTTTTATGGGTAAATGGAAGGAAGAGTTTATTTGGACCCACAACCCATTTGGCGCAAATCTGCTCATATGGCGACGTTATATATATATGACTGCATTTTTATTTGGAGAGGAGATGTTCTTCTATTGGATTCTTTTAAGGAATATTTCAATTTTAATCCTTACAATCTTACATTTACTTTTAATCAATCAAAAGAAAAATTGGAATTTCTAGATTTAGAGATTTATATCAAAAACAATAAGATAGAAACTAAAACATTCAGAAAATCAGTTGCATGCAACAGTTTTATTCCACATGACAGTTTTCCCAAATCTACTTGGCTTAATAATATACCATTCAGCCAATTTCGAAGAATTAAACAAAATTGCTCGGAACCTGCAATCTGCACTCAACAAATAGAAATGAAGTCCCAATTTCAAGCCAAAAGGTAATCTGAAGATTTACTTAACACAGTTATTAAAAAAACTACTGAATTATCACGCTCACAAATTTTAGAAACTAAACTCAAAGACTCCACCAATGATTCAAATATCCCATCGTTTATCACTAGATTTAATAATCAATCTAGCCAAGTAAGGAATATCTTACAAAAACATTGGAACATTCTCAAAGGTGACCCACAATTAGTCGCAATATTAGGAAATGAACCCTCAATAATTTATTCAAAGGCACCGAATCTAAGCACCTTACTGGCACCAACTACCAAACAGGAAAAACCAGAAGATAGAAATTCTATTGAATCCAGTAATAAGAAAGTATTTTGGAAATGTAAAGCATGCACTGCATGTAGAAATAATCCTAATCAACCAATACACAGCAATATATTCAGTCACCCTCAAAGAAAAGAAACGTTTAAAATCAAAACCCATTTAAATTGTAATACTACAGGAGTCATTTATATGTTAAGCTGTCCCTGCAACAAGATTTATATAGGACGAACCAAGAGAGCGCTCAAAACAACAGTGAGCGAACACATAAGGAACGTCAAAAAAGGTCTTCATACACACAATCTTTCAAGACATTTTGATATCAAGCATGGAAGGGGAAATCGGTGGGACGCAAGCGGTTGTAAGCAGAGTCTTATCATCACACGGCCGGACTGCAAGACCCTGTACCACGCTACCCCAGTAATATCATCCAGCGTTTCCATACCCCCTTGACATAGTCTATGAGTGCAATTTTAACTTTACCTATTTTGAAATAAAATTCATTAATTTAAACAGAAAACACTATGGGATTTTGTTTTATATTCCCATAGATTGAAGATATTGTCTAATACTTGGGATATTTTATGTGAATTTAAAGCTCACAGTTTATTGCAGAGAAACCCAGGGTACAGCAGAACAATTATACATCATCTGAAGAAGCAAGATTTGTTTTTGTTTTTTTTGTACTATAGTAATATCGCTTGTTTAGCAGATATACCCCAGCTAACACAGTAACTGGGATAACTGCCACTAGCTCACATCTCAAAGGACTTGTTTTGCAATTGTATCCAAATAGACTATACAAAGTTGCAAAATATTGTGGACTTTAAGTAACTCCTTTTAATAAAACTGACGTTTTAAAACACAGAATCCTCTTATCTATTTTATGAGAATAGAATTTTTTTTATATATGGTGCAATATTTGCAGATTTTAATGTATATGAGTATTGTGTTTTATCAACATTGATTTATAAATAATTGTCATCATAACCATTTTATTAGGTATATTTCCTACATTACTCCTGGAAACCTATTAGATTACATCTAATCCTTTATCTTAGCTTTGCTCTTTGGGGTTATCTGATGGGAACCCTATTATTTCCAGTTAGAGTAAAACCTCTATTCACACTATTACTCCTTGCCCGCGAGGCTTCTTATCTTCACTATAACTATGTTTCTATGCTGTTTGGTCCTTGCTGGTGGAAGCTTTTGCATTATCTCTGCAGGTTAGTCTAAACTTTTTTTTTTTTTTTTTTACATTCCCTCTCTAGGTTCTTCTTTCTTACGCAGCCTTTTATGTTTATGACAGCAGCCCAGAGCATGTCTTCCTGTCAGCTGGGCTGCCATCAGAAACCTCAGGGCCTCCTAAAATTAGATCATCTTAATGATAATGATAGAGGTATAGTTTTATCTTTGGAATATAGCAACGTATCAGTTAATTTCTTAGATCTCAATATTGTTATTCAAGATGGATGCATTCAAACCAAAACCTTCTTTAAAGAAGTGTGCACCAACAATATAATAGACCAAACTAGTTGTCACCACAAACCATGGTTGGATGGTATTCCAAAAAGCCAATTTCTTCGCCTCCATCGCACTTGTTCTCAAACAATTGATTTTAATGCCCAATCTACCTCACTAAAAAATATGTTTTTAGATAAAAATTACAAATTAGAAAAATTAGACGCAGCCCTAGAGGTGGTTAAGGAGAAGGAGAGAAAAGAGCTTTTGAAATATAAAGTCAAAAAAGAAGACCCTCCACAATTACCTATTATCTTCGACTTCAACAACAAAAATAACATTTTGAAAAAGATTATTAAAAAAAATACTGGCATATTCTTAAACAAGATGACCTTTTGACAGAACATATCCCAGACAGACCAAATTTAATATTTAGAGGGGCCCCTAATTTTAAAACAATTCTTACGAGAAATTATATGAAGAACAATGTACAGCAGAGAGATAACTTCTTATCTAGGCCGATGGTTTTTTTTAAGTGCAGTAAACGCATTGTGTGTAAAACTACAGCCAAGTCTAAAACCACCCATTTCTCCTCCACAATTACAAAAGCATCGTACCCAATCAAAGATTTTATTGGCTGTAACACTAAAAATGTGATATATATGTTGGAGTGTCCATGCGGACTCCAATACATAGGCATGACCAAAAGATGCCTAAAAATCAGACTGGCGGAACATTGCCGAAATATTAGAACAGGGTATGACAATCATTCAGTTTCAAAACATTTTCTGGCACACAATAAAGACCCGAAATTTTTAAAGGTTATCGGGATAGAACAAGTTAATGTTCCCTGGAGAGGCGGAGATATGACAAACATTTTAGGCAAAAGGGAAATGTATTGTGTCTTCCAACTTAAAACCCTCTCTCCAGAAGGACTCAATGCTGAATTTGATCTTTTTAATTTTTTATAATTAAATCTAATTAAATTTTTTATAAATATAATAAATTTTTTAAGTAATAAATATTTCATTTTTAAAAAAAAAAAATTTGTCATGTCTCCTGTCGTCTCATATATTTTCTTGTTTTTAACTAAGATGCATATCATGGCCTAAAAAACACAACCAAAGATGAATTTCTGATTCGGCTCCAAAAGGTAGGACACTTTCCCTTTAAATACAATGTATCTCATTTGGGTTATGTTTTCACTTTATTTACATATTATATAGTTAAGTACTAGTTTCCTTTTATACTTGTTTTATATTAAGTACTACCTTTTTTTTTTTACTGTATTTTCATTTATCCCTTTTTTATTAATTATTTTGGTTGAAATTTTTTCAAAATAATCTTATGTTTATTCTATGTATTTTTAGCTGTCCTTTTTGTTTTAAATTGTTTTTATTTTGCACGTTAAGTGGTATCAGACATAGATCATATGCAAAAAAATTGATGCACTGTTGCCTTCGCAGAGGCACAATAAATCAGATAATAGACATATAGTGCGTATGGTTGCCTGCGCAGAGGCATAAAGGGCTGCAAGATCAGTCGCGTTTAACCAGTGTCGGCATAGTGCACTGCACAGAAAAACTTAGTCAGGTTTGATTAATGGCAATTTACTTACATATAACTGTAATGCTTATAATAACAAGGTTTGTAAACTTATATTGCTTAAAATTAATGTTACTAATAATACGGACAATCTGCATGTTTGAAGCTTACTTTTAGAAAATCAAATAAAATTTGCGGTTATGTGTTAAGCTTGGGTTTCCTTTGCCCTCCGGCCTGAGTGCTTAGTACATGTTGAGAGCATTATGGTGTTGGACAGCATATATCGGTGTCATGTAAAACATTGCCTGTGTAGGCTAAGCGAAGCAGCTAATTTGCATAACAATCATATGGCAGAGGCATATACCGCGAAGCATATTGTTGATCAGTTAAAACGGTCAATGCCTGGTAAGGCGAAGAAGTTACCGTGTGCGGGCCTATGTTGCGTATGCTGAACGGTACTCATAAAACGAATGGAGTTTGCAGCTATATGTTTAAACTTGGCAAAAACAAGAACATGCTGTTACGAGCTAGTGCCGTATAGGGAGCGCATTAAAAAACGATTGAACCATTAACTGAGGGGTATATCTTCGTTATGCATTTTAGACCATTGCACAGTTGTGTGGTCCAAGTTATTTCCGGTTACTTGTAGACATATGGTCATGCGGTCTGGTATTTAATGTTGTTGGCCTGCTGAGAAGGCTAGCGTCTTAGTGTGTGTTCTGTGTGCTGTGTGGTGTGTGGGTCTGTGTGTGCGCCTCAATCATATGGACCGTATTTGTCAGATAGTTCGGTTCAGATTCTGGTGTCTGGGTGTCTGTGTGTGTCTCATTTAGGGTATGTTCCTGTGTGGGAGGGTCAGGGATTTGGGAAAAGGGATGGGCTGAAGAACAGAACAGAATGAGGAGAATAGGGATGTGGTAGGGGATTAGGAGATAGAGTAGCATTAAGACGGGTGGGCATCTCTGCCGTCCCACCGATCTGTACCCCCATTCTCCGTCCCAGACCGACCCGCCCCGCCGTCATCACCGGTGGTCAACTCTCGCTGGTTCCCTGTCCGCTCCTCCCTAAGTTCTGGTGTAGTTAAGAGGGACACGAAGCCGTCTCAGGTGACATATTTCAGCCAGTAGAACCACCTCTTCGTGTATTTTTCTTTCGCCATCGCTGTGTTTGCCTTCAAGTCCTCAAAGTTCCTGATGTTCTCCACCTCCTCCACCCATCGTCCGAGCAGGGGGGTGCGTGGTTGCTTCCAAAAGATAGGGACTGTAGTTTTCGCTGTGTTGAGAAGCCTTGGTATCACTGATCGTTTATACACCGGCGTGGGCATCGTCGTGTGGTGCAGCAAGAAGGGAGCTGGCGTCATTGGGAGGCATTCATCCGAAATTTCGGTGATCACTCGTCCCACTGTTTCCCAGAATGGTCTAATGAGAGTGCAGTCCCACCAGAGGTGTAGAAACGTCCCAGTCGCTCTTCCACATCTCCAGCACGTGTCCGATTTTGAGCCGTCTCTGGTATGAAGGTCCGCTGGGGTTTAGCTGTCCTTTTAAACATCTAAAGTATGTATTTATTTACTTTTTAATACCCATGTTCTTATTTATTACTGAGGAAATTCGTTGTTGTATGGTTTATTTTGCTTTTTAAGTGTCTACTAAGGTGATACTGGATTGTGGGGGAAGTGGTTATCGAGTGGAACGCATCCACTTCTGGTTGCGTTCCACCCGCGGACTACACTTTACAGAGTACATTGCTGCTCAATGAATAAGTCCTGCCCAGTGCTTATCGGCAGATCGCGATCACGTGACCAAAGTTTTTTTTCTTAAAAGAGAATACTAGTTTTAAGGATTTAAATATATTACAACTATATAGTTTGTTTTTACAATATTCTGTTCCTATTATATCTATGTTTTGTATTGCTTATATGTATTGTACTAATGACGTAATTTTTGCGCCAAAATTTGAATTAGCATATGATTACAAAGCCTATATAAACATTTATATACCAGGTTGTTGTTTCTATTGCCAGTTGATACAGCCCTGTGTTACGAAACGCGTTTTGGTTGTTTTTATATTCTATTTTTAATAGTTATTAATAAAGGAATATTGGCTTTTTTAACCATATATTTGACATATACCTTTTTATTATAATTTTTATAAAATATTTTATTATATCTATTTTATCTATACCTGGTCATCTACAACATTAGAGCGTGCACCTGCCCAAGAATCCTAGGTGGGGATAGTACCACCTATGCTATCATATTGAGCAGTATATATTTTTCCATAATTGACCTGTTTTACAATATATACAGTGAGCACTATATTTGGCTTTTATCTCTCTACATACCAAGGAGCTCTTCCGATTATCAACACCTATATCCTACCAGTGGAGGATCGACACCACTGAAAGCCAAATATACTTGAGCTAGTCTATGCTCCTCAATAGGTGAGTGGATTACCTCCCTGTTGTGTATTTTTAATTCATTTACCTGTCAGTTGCAGTTTGCACTATTGGAGTATTTTTTTTTTTATGTCCACATATCCAAATCTGAGTCAAGACGACTCCAGCACTTGAAGATCCAATACCGTATTGGACTTACAACATATTCAAGTCTTTACAGGTCAACTGGATCCTATAGCAGCCTACTAAGTATTAGGACTATTAGAAAATATTTTTGCCTTATTCATTATATGTGAGTACATTACTTCTACATATTATTTTTCTGTTACTGTAGCGCAACCTATTTCCAATTTTTTATCTACATGCAAAGTAGGCATGTGCATGGAGAAAATTTTCGGTTCGGTTCGGCATTCCGAAATTCGGGATTTTTGCAATTCGGGACTTCTGCAGCTCGCAACTTCGGCAACTTCGGCGACTTTGGGACTTCGGGACTTCTATTGCAGCTGCTTAGTAGATAATTCCCCAATTCCCACGGTATTAGGGAGTTATCTACCAAAAGGCTGAAAGACCTAAATTGGTCTTTCAGCCAAAATTACTAATACTAAGTAAAAATGACTTAGTATTAGAAACTTTTGCCCCTACACGCTATACTGCGAGTAGGGGGATGTCTAGTAAACAGTGAGCAGCCTATGGCTGCTCACTGTTTAAAAAAAAAAAAAAAATAGGACCTATTGCCCCCGGCCCCCACCCCTGAGCGGCGGGTGGGGGCCCTAAAGTAAAACGATGGGGGGGACTTATTGTCCTCCCCTCCCAACCCCCACCGCTTATCGGTGGGTGGGGGCTCGAAATACTACTAAGGGGGGGACCTAATGTCCTCCCCCCTGGCCCCACCCCTGAGCGGCGGGTGGGGACCCTACAATAAAATAAGGGGGGGCCTAATGTCCTCCCCCCTGGCCCCCACCACTGAGCGGCGGGTGGGGGCCCTATGTTGGAAAAAGGGGGAGACCTAATGTCCTCCCCCCTGGCCCCCACCCCTGAGCAGTGGGTGGGGGCCCTAAATATTAATAAGGGGGGCCTAATGTCCTCCCCCTGGCCCCCACCCCTGAGCAGCGGGTGGGGGCCCTAAATACCAATGGGGAGACCTATTATCCTCCCCCCCCCTGGCCCCCACCCCTGAGCGGCGGGTGGGAACCACCAAAAAAATGTGTCCCCCCAGGTGACTAGGGCCCCCACCCGACGCTCAGTGAATTTTATTATTTTTTAATTGCCTATACATATTTCTTAATATGTGTTTAAAGTTATTTGTTTTAGTCATTAATATAATATTTTTGGTTGTACAATTAGCCTGCATTTTGACATTTACAATTGCCTATACATATTTGATTTATGTGTCTAAATGTATCTATAGTCCTTTATATTTTTTTCTCATTTATCTTTTTATTGGTACAAGCATATTTTCAGACTTTGTGCATCACATTACATTCTGGCATTCAAAACCCGCACAGTCGCAGCTGTGAAATCCATTACCCCACATAATATAGGTCTAACATCTTCTGTATATACATTTGAAGCCTATGATGCTTCCCAGGTAGATGCGCTCGTTTTGGATCTCTCTGCTCGAGGCACTGTGTTATGTGATGTGCCTAGTGTCTTTGTGTGTCGATTCGGTACAGATGAAGTTATTGCTAGTGATGCACGTCTGACAAGCTATACCTGTTCATTCATTTTTGTAACAAGAACTTGGGTTGGGGGGGGGATACAGAAAGGAAGAAGGGAGGGGGGGGGTTCCCTAGACAGCATTTTATACATGTGATGATTAAATCCTATACATCCATTTGTAAACTTGGCATTGTTCCCATCTAAACCTTGCTCTATGTGAATGTAGGCATCACCTGACTGTGGCTCCTGTTTTACTGCCTAATTTTCCGCTGGCCAACAACTCCATTCCCTGTCATATCTCACACTGCTACCGTTTACTTTGTTGGCCATTTTTTCATATGCGCTAATCATATCCATTCTGTGTGTTATAGCTTCTACTGCTGGTATTTTGTTGCTCTTCCAGTTGCCTGCCAGCAAAATTTTTGCTACCGTTAGAATGTTTACCGCTACTTTCCTATGGGGGTGAGTGGCCACACTGGGCGCTATGTGAAGTATGTAGTGTTCCGGCTTCTTGGGGAGAGTGATCCCTGTCCTACCTAGTAGGAGCAGATGAACCGCCTCCCAGTAGTCAGTCAGTAGGGGGCATGTCCAGAAAATATGGAGCATGGTTCCCTCTCCTATGTTGCATCTCCAACACTTCCCGGACGTGCCCGGGTACATACTTGCCAGTCTATGTGGTACCAAGTACCACCTCATTAGCACCTTGCAATACGCTTCCCAGAGTGTGAGGCTTTGCGATGCTTTTTTCGTGGTTTCCAGAGCCGTTAGCCACTCTGTTTTGGGAATTTGGAGTCCCAAGTCCTCCTCCCACAGATTCATGTATGTAGGTTTATGTTTATCGGGGGCTGCCAAAGTGATAAGTGCGTTGTAGCATGCTGAAAGTGGCTTGAGTTGTTTGTGGAGGAGTGCCTGTTTAAGCGTTATGTGGGGTTTGGGGGAGTGAGTAGCGCAGAGTTGAATATGCGAGTGCACTATATTTTTTATTCGAAGGTACTGGAAGATATCCCTTGCTGGTAGCTGTAGTTCCCTTTGCAGGATGGGGAATTGCTTAATATGTCCTCCCTCTAGTATGTCTTGGACCCGGAGTTCGCCCCTCCCTTTCCATCGGCCCATCGGCAAGTCTGGGGATAGTACTTCTAGTGTTTCCAAGGGTGCTGCTAAAAAGAGCTCTTTGGGGTTTACTATGCAGGAGCTCCAGTTATTCCATGCCCTTAGAAGAAACCGTGAGCTCTGCAGTTGTTTCCCCCTACAACCTGTGAGTGTCCCCCTGCCCATAGGTTCCGTGACAAGTCATGGGTGTTCAGGCAGGCGCTTTCCATTTCTAGCCATATGGGTTTACAGGTGGCGGGCGCGGAGCGTAAGAGCCTGATACCCTGCGCTAAAACGGTTGCCTTATAGTAAGCCTTGATATCCGGCATGCCCAGCCCCCCACTGGTGCTTGGGAGCCCCAGCACTCCCCTTGCCACTCTCGGGGGCTTCCGTTTCCATACATGTGCGTTTATTGTGCTTTGGAAAAGTTTTAAAAGTTTGGTGGGGAGGGCGATGGGCAAGGTTCTAAACAGGTATAGTATGTGCGGCAGCGCCATCATTTTGATAAGGTTAATACGGCCTAACCAGGATACCTCTAGACCTTCCCATTTCTCTAGTGTGGTTCTTAGCTTTTGTATGACCGGGTAGTGGTTTTCCCGTATGGTGGTCTGAGAGGACTTTGTGAGATTGATCCCCAAGTATTTTAGAGAGGTTTTGCGCCAGTCGAAGGTGTGTTGTGATTGTAGCGTCATGACATTATTGCTCGGTAAGTTTATAGGCAGTGCTTGCGTCTTCGTTGTGTTGTTCCTATAGTAAGATACCCGTCCATATGTGTCGAGCCTGTGTATTAGTCGTGGTAGTGAGGATTCTGGACGTGTTAGGAATACCAACACGTCGTCCGCGAAGAGTGCCAGTTTTTTGTCACCGCCTGGAGTGTGGAGCCCTTGTATTACTGGGTCGCAGTTTATTAGCCGAATTAGAGGTTCTAGACTTAATATAAAGATGAGGGGCGAGAGGGGGCATCCCTGTCGGGTACCATTCCTTATCTCTATTTGATCAGATATAAAGCCCGTGCTAAACACTCTGGCCGTCGGATTTCGATATAATGCAAGAATGCTCGACAGGACTTTTGAGGAGAATCCCATTCTAAGGAGCGTCTGTGTCATATATTCCCAGTGTAGGCGATCAAAGGCCTTTTCGGCATCCAGTGCCAAGATCAGGCCAGCCTGGGACGATAAGTTTGCCCAATCTATTAGATTCAGGAAGTGCCTGGTATTGTCCCCCACTTGCCTCCCTGGGACGAATCCCGCCTGTTCCTCGGAGATGAGATCTGGGAGTATTTTTTTAAGTCTCGTTGCTATCAGTTTGGCGTATAATTTTGTGTCCGCATTTAGCAGGGAAATTGGGCGTAAGTTAGCACAGATAATGGGGGGTTTGTTTGGTTTGGGCAGTGTCACAATGAAAGCTTCTAGCATTTCTTTGGGCATCTCCCCTGAGTCTTTTATTACGTTATATAGTGTGGTGAGAGGGGCGGTCAGATACGGCGACAATTTTATATAGTAATAATTTGATAAGCCGTCTGGGCCCGGGGCTTTGTGCTTAGGTAGGGACTTAATGGCCTCTTCAATTTCCTGCTCTGAGAAGGGTTCTTCCAGCGAGGAGCATTGCTCTTGGGATAGGCTCGGTAAATCTATCTGATCTAGAAAACGTGTGATTCCCATTTTAGTCGGTTGGTGAGTGCCGTGGTCCCTGTCTAACTGGTAAAGGGACGCATAATACCGCGCTAACTCGTTGACTATGTCCTGGGGGTTATATAGTTTTACTCCCTGCTCTGAAGTGATATAGGGTATTTTCGACTGCAATTTTGTTTGGCGGACTCGTTGGGCTAGTAATTTTCCTGCCTTGTTGCCCATGGAATAATATGTCTGTTTGAGGGTCTGCATCCTTTTTTCTGTTTCCACTAAGTGAAGAGAGCTTAGTTTGGATTTGAGCTTTGTCAGTGTGTCGTGCGTGCGTTTAGTGGGTTTACGTTTGTGTGCCTCTTCATGTGTGGTTATTTCTTGCTCAAGGCGTGTTCTTTCATTGTTGTATTGCTTCTTTACTCTCGCCCCCATCTGGATAAAGTTTCCCCTTATGACTGCCTTATGGGCTAACCATTTAGTGATAATTGTTGTCTGGCAAGTCGCATGGGTCTCAAAGTATTCCTGTGTTTTGGCCTGTATTTGAAGGAGATTCCCCGGTGTGTCCAGGAGGCCTTCGTTAAGGCGCCATGTGCCTCGTCCCCTAGCTGGGTAAGGGGTTTTTATAGTTATAATTTGTGGAGCGTGGTCAGACCACGTGATTGAACCTATTTGTACTCTCATTGCAAAGGGTAGCGTTTTTGTGTCTAGGAGGCATAAGTCTATTCTAGTGTAGGTCATATGTAGAGGCGAATAAAACGTGTAGTCCTTCTCACATGGATACAGATTCCTCCACGTATCATAGTAATCGTGCTCATGCATAAGGGTACTGAGATGTTGGCCTAAGGCCAAAGAAGCTGGCTTTGGTGGTTCATTATTCACTCTGCTGATATCTAGGGCTGGGTCAGGGGAGCAATTAAAGTCCCCGCATATGATGGTGTGACCTTGTTTGTATTGTGCAATTGTGCGGAACGCCCTGTTTAGAAAGCGTTTCTGCGCTTCATTTGGGGCATACAGTGAGACTATTGTTATTTGTAGTCCGTTCAGGGAACCCACCAGAACCAGCAGCCTCCCATCCCGCCTAGCATATTGTTCGGAGAGTGAAAATACCCAGTCTCTATGGAAGTACACGGCCACCCCCCTGGATTTAGTCGGTGATAGGGCGTGATAGCCTTGGGCGTATTGTTTGACGTTAAACCTCGGGGTATTGCGGATGCAGAAGTGCGTCTCCTGCAAGCACACTATTGCTGCTTTAGATTTATTCATTTCCACTGCTGCCAGTCTGCGTTTATGGGGGCTGTTGAGGCCTTTCACATTTAATGTTAGGATTTTTAGTTCGTCAGCCATACGGTCTTTTGTTAGGCTGCTTGTGCAGTTCGTGCGTGTACGGGTAATAATGCATAGCAAATGGTGTTGGGGCTGTCCAGGGGGGAAAGGGTCGGGATAAAACGGGAATAACAAAACCACGTGTCTGTAACAAAAACAAGTATATACATAGCGCCATTATATTTGTTAGCGCTCTTCCTGGTTTAGGCGCAAGTCGGGTGTTCTGTCCCGTCTCTGCGCGCAAACCTAGGGGATGGTCTGGTAGTGACAGCATGTCGCCCCCGGCCCCCATCGGTGTTAGTTTCCGCCCTGTCCATTGTAATTAATGGGTGTATTAATTAAGTAAACAACCAGTTTCCCCTGCCCAGAAGTGGATAGTTATGTTTTACTTGCTTTCAACTTTTTAATATTGCTAAATTAAGACATTTCTGGGGGTTACGAAACCCTTCCCCCCTTGTACTTCTACCCTCTTTCAGCCTATCCTTTAGGGTACTTGTGTATGTCTCTCCGGTAGCTGGAGTATTATGGTAAGATTGTGGTGTCATGTCCCCATATCTGTTTACACATTAAATTATACTCACAACCGTTCAATCTTTAGCAAATGGTAAGCGTGACAGTCACTGTTTATCTTACAATAGTCCTTGTTGAGAGGGACCTGTAAGTCGTCAGATTTAGGAGGGCGATCCCGCCATCTGCCACTCTCTTTGCGGGCGTTTCGGTGATTCCACTGTTGCTCCGTCCGGAGACCTCACTGGAAATAGCCCCCATTCCTTCAGTAATCGCATGCCCACCTCCGGTTCGTTCGCTGTGTATGTCCTTCCATTTTTCCAAACGATAATCTTGGTTGGGTACCCCCAGCGGTATTGAATGCTGTTGTTCCTTAATGTCTTTGTGACTGTTATGAACTCCCGCCTCCTGCTCATGGTCATTGCTGACAGATCTGCAAATAGTTGAACTTTGTCATATGGCGCCGGCAATGTCAGTGTTTTTCTTGCCGCTGTGAGTACCGCGTCTTTAGTTTTAAAGAAGTGGAATCTCACCACTATGTCGCGTGGTGTATCTTGCGCAAGCCTTTGAGGTCTTGGTAGCCGGTGTGCTCGGTCCATGATCCACTCCTGTTGCGGTATTGTCGGCGCCAGTGTTTTGCACAGTGTCAATATGTATGCAGCAATACCGTCATTTGCCACAGATTCCGGGATCCCTCGGAACCTGATATTGTTCCGCCTCGAGCGGTCTTCCATGTCGGCCATCTTCTTTTTTAAAGCCATATGTTCTTCGCTTAAATTCTGTACAGTTTCTGCCAGCATGTCATGTGCTGAGCAGAGCTCCTCTTGTCTAGCCTCCAAGTTGTTTGTCCGCTCCCCCAGTTCTGATATTTCTTTTTTTATATCATTAGTTGCCTGCCTGAGGTCCCTTTGCAGAGTTAATCTAAATTCTTGCAGCATAAGAAAGAGCTTCCTCTCCGTGACCGGGGCATCGGTGTAGAGGCTTACCTCATTGTCTGGCTCCAGGGGGGAGTCTGTGGGCTGTGACAATGCTAGTCCGTCGCCGCCATCTTGTGTAGGCCGCGTTTTGTCCCTTTTTTGTTGGCGGACCGGGTCTGTGAGCTTCGTCTGCTTAGCAGGGGCCATTGCTGCAGGCTGCTGGTGTTGGTACGTATTTGGCCAGATTTTAGGGCATGTAGCTGCGAGATATCAAGCTGTGAGGGCTATTACGGCCGGGAGCTCTCACACCATGCGACCGTTCTCCTCGGCCGCTAGCCACGCCCCCCCTATAGTCCTTTATATAATATTATATCTGTGGTGCGCCGGTTATTATGGTTTTTTATTTGGCCTTTTTTGGGGCTGAAAAAATAAGATTTTAGAAGAAAGAAAACATTGAATGGTAAGTTTTATTATTTTTTTTTACTTAGGTACTTAGTTAAAGGTCCCCCCCTCATTCTTTATAGGGTGAGGGAGGTAGGTAGGGGGTTAATTTTTTTTGGGGGGAGTGGGTGACTAGAGGTTTGGGGACCCCTAGACACCTGGGGGGGTTAACATTTTTTTAAGGCCCCCGCCAGCCACTCAGGGGTGGGGGCCAGGGGGAGGACATTAGGTTCCCCCCTCTTATTAGTATTTAGGGCCCCCACCTGCCACTCAGGGGTGGGGGCCAGGAGGGAGGACATTAGGTCCCCCCCTTATTAGTATTTAGGGCCTCCCCCCACTGCTCAGGGGTGGGGACCGGGGGGAGGACATTAGGTTCCCCCCCATTAGTATTTAGGTCCCCCACCCACCGCTCAGGGGTGGGGGCCAGGGGGAGGACATTAGATCCCCCCCCTTATTCTGATTTAGGGCCCCCACCCACCACTCAGGGGTGGGGGCCAGGGGGAGGACATTAGGTTCCCCCCTCTTATTAGTATTTAGGGCCCCCACCTGCCGCTCAGGGGTGGGGGCCAGGAGGGAGGACATTAGGTCCCCCCCTAATTTTACTGTAGGGCCCCCACCCACCACTCAGAGGTGGGAGCCAGGGGGAGGACATTTTGTACCCCCTTTAGTTTAAAAGCTCGGGAGGGAGTAGCTTTTTTTTTTTTTAACAGTGAGCAGCCACAGGCTTAAAACTTTAATACTGGTCTTAATGCAAATTTTGATTTATATAATTTTTTTTTATATATATATAATTTTTTGTAGAATATCATGTAAATCATTTTTTATATACATATCCATTTTATATAGTTTCATCTTCCTATCTCAGTGAATTTTATTATTTTTTAATTTTTTAATAAAGTTATCTGTTTTAGTCATTAATATAATATTTTTGGTTGTACAATTAGCCTGCATTTTGACATTTACAATTGCCTATACATATTTGATTTATGTGTCTAAATGTATCTATAGTCCTTTATATAATATTATATCTGTGGTTCATCTAGGCTCCTATTAAACTTTTAATTGTACAATCATATTTTTAATTGTACAATTAAGTTGCAATTATTAACTGTGTCATTATCTTATCTTATTTTATTGCGTTCACCTTTTGCGTTGCGTTCACCTTTCCTATTCCTTATACTTCCATTCACATGCATTTGCCATTTAGTATATCTTTCTTATTTTGGTCCCACAGACTATCAGTACTCAAGCCTTGCACCCGACATGTTTTAGTTTCAAAACACTTTTGCAATTTTGTTTGAGCCGTTCCTTTCTTGCACAGGCTCTGCTCTATTTCTGGGGCTTCGTTTCTAAACTACACTTGGTGTGTAAGCTACCCCATCTAGCTCCCTATATATTATACTCCATTTCTGTTTCATTTGGCGCTGTGGCCGCACTGATCATGTGACGCGGTCCGCTGTACCATCTTGGATTTTACCTGTGCCTTTTAAAATAATTTAACCATCAAAAAATGCTCGTTTTACATTAAAATCATTCCCATCTACTCTGTCTATACTTATTTTGAGCACCTATATGATTTTTTTTATTATTTGAAATAAGTTTTTGTTAATTAATTTCGGTAATGTGACCTTTGACGCCACAAGACCGTTGATTTTAAATTTTGTATTCCTTTTTAAACAGCCCAGGTCCTTTTATTCTGTAAATACTTTTGATGAAGCCAGTTAATGGTGAAACACGTTAAATGTATCCTAATATTGTTTGATTTTGTTTCCTACAGTTTTATTCTTAATGTTTTGTTGTTTTTATAAATAAAAGTACTTTTTTTTTGGACACTATGGTTTGCTGCTGGATTCCTGAACACCATATCATTGGTGGAAATAAGATACAACCTGTGCCTATTGGATTGAGCAAACTTACTTTGTTCTACCACATGTGACTTAGTTTCTACTTATTTTATCGTCTGCCTCCACTTTTACGGTGTACACTATGGTAGTTTTAATTTCTCATTTATATACATACAGAGCCACCCTCACCTATATCCTAGTGTGGAAATTACACCACTTCATGCTATACATGTGAAGCCACTATTCAGGCTCCATAATATGTGAGTGCACATTTTTATGCTGACTTATTGCTGCTATTTGGTTTGACATACTGCACTATATACTGTAATTTTTTTTCCTCATATCTATGAGGAAATCCAACATTATGAGGACTGCGTGCACAACCTGCACTTCATTATATCCGTAGGTGCGGATTATTCCAACTACGTGTTCAATTTGGAGCTGAATTTAAGCTCCTAAAAAGGTTGAGTGTATAAATTTTATCTTTTTTACTTCACCATATTTTACGTATTACACTATTAGTTTCCTTTCTTTGTCATTTGGTATACCGCTAAGGACATCTTAGGTGCTACACCTACCCTTCTGTTTTACCTGAGCTCCAAACAAGCTTTAGACCAACAATTTAATTAGCTAGGCTTAGCGATCAGGTGCCGCCCTCTAAAGTTTGGAGTTAAACCTTTCATTAACAGCTTAAACCCCTAATGATCGCTATGGGACCTCTTTCCACCATCACAACTTCATTATGATTCTCAGAGTGGTCCTGCAATATACATACTATTATAGTTATAGTATTTGCACATATATTAAGTTATTTGCAACAAAATACAGTTAATATTGTAGTCACATTACTGAACTTTTATTGAAGGGACAACTGATTCATCTCATTGAAGGGGTTACAGTGTTTGAAGTCTCTTGGTGCAGTCCCTTCAGTCAATATTATTAAACCTTTTTTAATGTGAAACAAGAGTTTCCAGCAGCCCATCCCCTCTGTGTTTTTGAGCTAATGAGGAAGCATTATTATTATTATTATGTGATTTATATAGCGCCATCAAATTCCACAGTGCTCTACAATGGGTGGACGAACAGACATGTAGTTGTAACCAGACAAGTTGGACACACAGGAACAGAGGGGTTGAGGGCCCTGCTCAATGAGCTTACATGCTAGAGGGAGTGGGGTAAAATGACACAAAAAGGTAAGGATAGTATTAGACTAGTGACAGTTGCAGAAGAGGAATCAGTCGGGAGCTATTAACAGTTTATTTGATACGCTTTTATGAAGAAGTGGGTTTTTAACAATTTTTTGAAGGAGTGGAGAATGGGTGAGCATCTAATGGAGGAGGCAAGTGAGTTCCACAGGAACGGTGCAGCCCTCGAGAAATCTTGAAGGCGAGCATCAGAGGTAGGAGTACGGTCAGAAGATAGACGTAAGTCTTCAGCATATCGTCAGGACCTACTTGTGTATAAGGGAGGATAGATAGGTGGGAGCAGCATTATGTAGTGATTTGAAAGCAAGAACCAGAATTTTAAATTGAACTCTATATTTTATAGGAAGCCAATGTAGGGACTGACAGAAGGGTGAGGCATGGGAGGTGCGGGCAAACAGGAAGATGAGCCTCGCTGCCGCATTCATTATGGACTGTAATGGCGTAAGTTGGGAGCACGTAAGACCACTGAGAAGTGGATTACAGTAGTCAATGTGAGAAAGGACAGTGGAATGGACCAACACCTTAGTCTGGCGTTAAGTAGGGGCAGATGTGCGCATTGTTTTTGAGATGGAAATGACAGGATATGGCGATAGACTGAACATGAGGCTTGAAGGAGAGGTCGGAGTCAAAGTGAACACCTAGGCAGCGAGCCTGCGTGGTGGAGCTGATGGTAGCACCGTTGACTTGGAAGGAGGCAGACACAGGAGTAACAACACTTGAGGGAGGAAAGACCAGAATTTCAGTTTTGGTCAAGTTTAGTTTAAGGAAGTGGACAGCCATCCAGTTAGAAATAGCAGAGAGGCAGTGAGAGACACTAGTCAAGAGGGACGGGGAGAGATCAGGAGAGGACAGGTAGATTTGCGTGTCATCTGCATAGAAATGATATTGGAAGGAGCTAATGAGTTTACCAAGGGAGGCAGTATAGATGGAGAACAGTAGGGGACCAAGGACTGAACCTTGGGGGACACCAACAGAGAAGAGTTGGGGAGAAGAAGCAGAGCCAGAGAAAGAAACACTGACAGAGCGCTGGGAGAGGTAGGAGAGAGCAATATCTTGTAGACCGATATTGTGGAGGATGAGTAGAAGCTGTTGATGATCAACAGTGTCAAAAAACGCAGACAGGTCAAGGAGAATTAGGATAGAGTAGTGACCACCAGATTTTGCAGAAAGTAGATCATTGGATACTTTGGTCAGTGCCGTTTCCACAGAGTGCTTAGCGTGGAAACCAGACTGAAGCGGGTCTAGCAGAGAGTTGGACTCGAGGAAGTCTGTCAATCTCACATACACAATTCTTTCAAGGATCTTGGATGCAAAAGGCAGTAGCGAAATAGGACGATAGTTGGATGGGGAGTTAGGGTCAAGTTTGGGCTTCTTTAGAATTGGGGTTACAGTTGCATGTTTGAAGGGCAATGGAAATATACCAGAGGGGAGAGAGAGATTGAGAATTTTAGTGAGAGGTGGAGAAAGAGAAGTAGACAGAATACAGATGAGATGCGAGGAAATTGGATCTAGGGAGCAGGTGGTGGGGCAGGAGGACTGGAGCAGAGCAGAAACCTCTTCCAATGTAGCGGGTGCGAATAAACATAGAACAGCAGAGGGAGTGAGTTTAGGGGAAGTATTGTAAGGGGAAGAAGAAAGATGAGAAATCTTTTCTCTGATTGTGGAGATCTTGTCAGTGAAGTGAGTTGCAAAGTCTGAGGCGGTCAAGTTAGTAGGTGGAGGAGGAACAGCAGGGCGAAGAAGAGAGTTAAATGTGTGAAATAATCGTTTAGGTTTGTGGGAGAGTGTGGTTATGAGGGTATTGAAGTAATTAACTTTTACAGAGGAAAGAGCCAAGCTGTATGAGCGCAGCATAAATTTATAGTGGAGAAAATCAGATGCACATTGAGACTTTCTCCAACAACGTTTAGCAGTTCTGGAGCATTTTTGGAGGTATCGAGTGAGCTTGGTGTGCCAGGGTTGTTGTTGGGGGTGCCTGCAGCGTTTAAATGTACAAAGTTCCATGATGTCTAATTGAGAGGAGAGGGTGGAATTGTAGAAGGAGGCTGCAGAACTAGGACAGGTGAGGTTTGAGATAGGTAAAAGGAGAGTTTGGAGATTAGTGGAGAAATGCTCTAGGTCAAGACATTGGAGGTTTCTGTGAGAGTGATGTTCAGACGGTGGTGTCAATTGGGTCTTAGGTATGCCAATGTCAAACGTCAGCAAATGGATACAACAGGAAATAAGCGCTCACTACACAGTGCAAAAAAGGGATGGGCAGCAGAGAATCTGTGAGATTTTTGGGAAGTCTCACAAAGAGAACAAATATAGGTAGACAGAGTGATAAACCGCGCCCTATAAAGTGAATATACAGTGCAAATGACAGAGGTATATATACTTATATATCTGATGACATCTGTGACTTCAAAGTATCTTGAAAAAAACAGAAAAGATATATACAAATAGTGCAATATGTATCTCTTTTCTGTTTTTTTCAAGATACTTTGAAGTCACAGATGTCAGATAAGTATATATACCTCTGTCATTTGCACTATCAGCACTGTATATTCACTTTATAGGGCGAGGTTTATCACTCTGTCTATAAAAGTCAGCAATTGGTGGTCAGATGGAGGAAAAGGAATATTGGAGAGATTAGAGGCAGTACAGAGGTTGGTGAAGGCGAGATCAAAAGTGATTCCCGCTGTATGGGTTGCTAAGTTGGACCATTGCATAAGGCCAAAGGAGGAGGTTACAGAGAGCAGACAAGAGGCATCAGTGCAATTGGGGTTGTTGATTAGGATATTGAAATCCCCAAGTATAAGGGAAGGAGTGCTAGATGAGAGGAAGTGGGGAAGCCAGGAAGAAAAGTGCTCAATGAATAGTCTAGGATAACCGGGGGGGCAGTGGATGATAGCAATTCTTAAAGGAGTGGGTTTAAATAGGCGGACAGTGTGAACTGCAAAAGAAGAAAAGAATAGGGCAGGGGGAGTTATGATTGGTTGAAAGGTACATTGAGGGGAGAGAAGGATGCCTACGCCGCCTCCTTTACAGTTGAGTCTGGGAGTGTGAGAGAATTGTAGCCCACCAAAACATAAAGAGGCAGGAGTAGCGCTATCAGAGGGAGACAGCCAGGTCTCTGTAAGTGCAGGCAGTGTGAGTGAGTTTGAGATGAAAAAGTAGTGTATGGTTGTTGATTTTAAATTACTGCAGATGGAGCGGGCATTCCAGAGTGCACATTGAATTTTGGTAAGTGAGGGTAAAGGGCAGTGTATTGTGATGAGGTTTGTGGGGTTTCTGGTTGTCTTAGTGTGTGTAGAGAAGGTGAAGGGCCCTGGATTGGGAGAGACATCACCAGCTGCTAGAAGCAGGAGGAGAGGAAGTGACAGGAGGTGTGAATGGGTTTTGTATGCAAGGGGTCTAGGATGAGATTGATTGTGGGTTGGAGTGAGAGAGTAGAAAAATTAGTGTAAGGCATGAGATGAGAGAAGGGGGGAGTGTAGCAGAGAGGGGCATATGTAAATGTGGATGGGGGGATGAGTGAAGTGGGTGTAAGGAGAGATTTTTATACTGAGGGAGACTGAGGAAAATAAAGAGGAGGAGAAAACAGATCATTGCTAAACTGTGAAAAATATAAATTGGAAATAATTGGAATATCGAGCAGGTGAAGGTAGGAAAAATATTATGTTTCATGGGTTAAGAAAGTGCAGGAGTATAATAATAAGAGGCAGTTTTTTTGTTTTTTTTTACCTAACTAAAATGTGGGTGTGACAGACAATCTATAAATGTAATAATGAGCATGGAGTGGGATGGTGTGGGGAGGGGAAGGTGGGCATCAGGCTTGCTCACAGCAGTAATGGGCTTGCAAAGTTGGGGAATCAGGCTGTTGAATAAAGAGATGTGAGTGTCAGAGAGCTTGCAATAAAGGTAAGGGAGGGGGATATGTATCTAGGTACAGAGATAAATAGATGGATATTGAAATAAAAGCAAACATATCAATAAGAGAAGGGAGGGGTCAGAGGTCAGTCACAAATCCGAGGCGAAATAGAGGAATGCATATAGGTGAATAAAACAATTACATACAGGGCTAGCAAAACTACACTTTAGCATAACAGACAAGATATAAATACAACACAATATACAATGTACAAAGTTATTAGCCTAACTAATAAGGGGCAGTGGTGATTGGCTGAGAGTGTCAGCTGATCACTATCACAGTTACATGGTATTAATTGGTATGACTTCAAGGAAGTGTGTAATCTGTGTGGTAGCCATACCTTCAGTGGGACTGGACTGTGGGTGGCCTGGGCCACCAATCCTCTTTTATTCTTTTTTAAATCAATAAATCTCTTTTTCTACATGTTGGAGTCCTGCATGGTTCCTGATATTGGGTGATACCGGATCCTAAGAGGGAGATATTAGCCCCCAAAACATTGGGTGAGGCACCAATAGAGCGCATATAACTTCAACATCCTGTGAGTGCAATCTATAGCAGGGAATATTATATTTCCATAAAATGTATTATGCTATGTTTTATTTTAGATTCATCAGCTGAATCCCACGTTTACTGTATTTCTTCAACTGCATGTGTATCAAACACTGCCACAGACACACACTGACACACTGATACGCATGCAGATACAGACAGACCTACAGATACGAACAGTGGCGTACACATGACCCATGGGGCCCCGGTGCGAAAATATGTACCCACAGGGCCAGCCTCTTCTCCTGGGCGGCGCAGGAGGCGGCCACCTCAGGGCCCCCCGAGGCTGGCCCTGCTGACCCCGGCGGGCTGGCTGTCTGGGTGGCCGGCGCGTGAGGGAGCACTCTCCCCTGAGTGCTTCCTCTTCAGCTCCCTCGCGCGCCGCATAGGGATGTATGCCACTGGATACGCACACTGACACATGCAGATACAAACACTGCCACACATGCAGATATACAGACATACAGCTACAGACATACACACTGACACATACAGATACACGGATACACACTACACACACATATGTGCTACACACACACACATACAGACACTCATACACACACTACACACACAGAGATATACACTTACACAGACACACTACACAGACACTGATACAAACAGATAAACACACACACACACACACACACATAAACACAGATACACACACACTACACACACAGATCCACACATTAAAAAATTAAGCCAACCTCCAGTTTCTTACCTTCTGCTAGATGTGGCTGGTGGGAGTTGGGGGCCTGATCTGGCCCCATCCTCACAGCTCCCTCCTTTTCCTCCCATGTGGCTGGCTCTGTGTAAGCTAAGAGGAAGTGGCAGGCTGTCACTTCCTCCCAGCTCTCCTGTAGTAAGGAAGGGGTCTGGTCACACTGTTAAAGCTCCACCCAATGGACCCTCACACAGGTTTCCAATCCATGCAGTGCAGCTGCACCACCACCACAGGTTGGGAACTCCTGTTTTAGAAAATGAGAAAGGAGGCAAAATGCTGCCCCTGCCAGTGTACCACCTGGAGCCATGGCCCCACCGCGGTCTATGAACGGGTGCCAGCCCTGACAACAGAGTGCACAAGGGAGCTGTACAGGCAGTGCTGGAATGGATGGGAGTTCCCTCAGAGGAGCGCTGCGGCAGCCCACTGGACCTCTGGCTGTGAATCCACTCCAGTTCTCCTAAAGTTATGGAGACTGGGTGGATTTTAAACAATAAAACAAAGTGTGTGTTTGTCTCTCTAAGCCCCACTTCCACACAATACGGCCTTTACATCCCCCACAATACTGCACATATCCCCCCATTTACTGTCTCTATCCCCTGCAATAAAGCAGTCTCTCTGTTCATTTTGAAATCCTACAAGTGCTTTTTATCTGCACATTATGCTGGAGCAATGTGTTATAGGGTTTGTATTCTTTTTTCAGGGCTGTGGTACAAATAGAAATGTGTAGTTTTAACGCTACAGTGCCCTAGTCACCATTAAAGGGACCGGGGCCCCCTCCCCTCTGCATTAGGGTTAAAAGTTTAACACCTTAAACGTTAACTTACCTTGTTTCCATAACTGACATCCACTACAGACCAGTTAACCTGCAAGGAAAACATTGTTGTTCCTGCAGAATATCAATGTTTTCAGGTGCAGGGTGAAAACAGGTGACACATGACACCCAGACCACTTCATTGAGATGAAATGGTGTGAATGCCTGAAGTGTTCCTTTAACTGTAAAATGTTACAAGTATACTGCAGGTTCTTAGGGAACTTATTTTATAGAGTGGAGTTTGGGCTTTAAACTTTCATAAGTAGATATATAGTCTTTAACATCTATCTATATATCTGCACTATTCTTTGTTCGACTTTTTTAAAAATTTGTTTGGCTACATAATGTTGAAGCTACGTGGGGAAACACAGTGTTATGATAAATAACATTATTATTATATGTTGAGCACAATCCCTTCTGTTTAGTAGTTTTCACTTAGTGATACTCGGAAGTAGGTAAGTGATTATCAAAGATGACACAACTGAGCGATGTCTGATGAGCAATTTCCTTCTTATTAACAAGTTTGTATATATTGATCATATTTAGAAAATTATCTTACCTTCTCCAGACCAGTGGAATCATCTTCAATATTCTTTGGTAGTAGAATGAGGAGACTTACATGTTTTGCTGTAAAAGGGATATCTAAGATCATAGTTTTTAAATCATTTACATATCCAATGCTTAGTCGGGCTTCTAGATGCATCATTTGCACAGGTTTAGTTTCAGTCTGAATAAAACAAAAGTAAAATGTAATAATACAATCTTAAATGGAAAACATCTTCATATAACATGGACTGAGGTTCATACAAGGGTTAGTGTATGAAGTTGGCTAGTGTGACAGATTTGGGAAACCTGAAATGTATTTAATAAGAGAAGATTGTCCAACAGTATTCAATTGTTTGAAATGTAGTCATTGATGGATGCTTACGTGCTCAATAGTGTTCTAACAATGGAAAGTGTTTGACTTTATAACACCTTGAATAGGAGAAGTGGACAGTTTAGAAAAAATGCTTTGCATATTAATTAGATCAGGGTAAGGATCTGAGTTTTAAATTACTTGTAATAAAATTCTACACATGTATAAACTGTTTACATATTTCAACATATCCTTCCTTATAAATTTACTTTTAACTTCTAGTATAACAAGACAATTTGTTTACATTTATTTATTTATAAAATATTTTACCAGGAAAGATACATTGAAATTTCTCTCATTTTCAAGTATGTCCTGGGTCCACAAATCATTGCATTGTTACATTGGGGTACAATAAAATACAAAAACCATATTAATACACAATATATACAAAATGTAACATAGAATAGGTAGGAAATATATAATCAACCATGACACGTGCATTCTGTTTGAGGTATGTAGAGAGGGATCTCTTAAAGGTCTTTAGGCTTAGGGAAGATTTCAAAGTGTGCGGGAGGTCGTTCCACAATTGCGACGCTCTGTAGGAGAAGGGGGATCGGGCTGCTTTCTTTTTGTATTGAGGTAGACTAAATAATGTGCTGGTACTGGATTTGGATGTTATAGTAGGTGGGAGTAATTTCATAATAGGAGTAATGAAAATTGGTTCTTGTGTCCAATAACTATTGCCCCATGCCTTGCCCCACTTGATCTAGCACAGGGTATATATTGTATTTAGATCATCTAAATTATCTGACATAAAGCTTAAGCCATAACCCAGACAAAATATCAGTTACAAAATTGAGCAAAATGAATATGGATTTCCTCATTTTACAAATTAATAATCAGCAGTCAAAAATGAAATTGTCTGCCTTCCCAAGACGTCCCAATGGAGCATCCACCCACCGAGAATGCATCAAGCTCAAGAGAAGCTTTATGCAAGTGTGTAGATATATATTTATTTCTGATTCTTTTGTAAATATAATGTAATTTTGTTTCCCACGAAAACACCATCTGTTTTTTCCTAAACAGTCAATGATAGAAAAAGGAGCAGGAATGTTAAATCAGAAAAAATATAAATAGAATTTGGGATTAAAACAGAGCATGAGAACGGAAAAAGAAAATTATTTTTTTTTACAGAAATATATTGTTAAATCGCAATAAGCTGTCAGGTCATGAACTGCTATAGTACCCGTATAGCCTTCTGTTTTTTGACATACTTAAAATTAGAAAATAGACTTTGAGATTTGTTTCAGTACAAAATAAGGACGGTTGGTGATTGGTTGAATTTCCAAATCTGAGCAGAAATTTACCCGAATCCCAAACTAAACTAACCACTTTGATTTTTGAATTGGGATTGTAATTCTGCCCATAGCAACAAATAAAGAGATTAATAATGGGAAAAAAAGATGAATTATGACTATAGGAAAGTCACAAAATTTTGCTTTTATTCACAGATCATGTGAGAAGTGAGCAATAGAGGAGAAAAAAAGGATCAATGAAAATAATCTATATTTATATATAAATATATTTAGTCACTTGGATCACTTGATCTTTGAACCAAATGGCAGTAAAACTCTCCTATCAATGTACACTGCTCAAAAAAATAAAGTGAACACTTAAACAATACAATGTAACTCCAAGTCAATCACACTTCTGTGAAATCAAACTGTCCACTTAGGAAACAACACTAAGTGACAATCAATTTCACATGCTGCTGTGCAAATGGGATAGACAACTTGTGGAAATTAAAGGCAATTAGCAAGACACCCCCAATAAAGGAGTGGTTCTGCAGGTGGTGACCACAGACCACTTCTCAGTTCCTATGCTTCCTGGCTGATGTTTTGGTCACTTCTGAACGCTGGCGGTGCTTTTACTCTAGTGGTAGCATGAGACAGAGTCTACAACCCACACAAGTGGCTCAGATAGTGCAGCTCATCCAGGATGGCACATCAATGCGAGCTGTGGCAAGAAGGTTTGCTGTGTCTGTCAGCGTAGTATCCAGAGCATGGAGGCACTACCAGGAGACAGGACAGTACATCAGGAGGCATGTAGGAGGGCAACAACCCAACAGCAGGACTGCTACCTCCGCCTTTGTGCAAGGAGGAACAGGAGGAGCACTGCCAGAGACCTGCAAAATGACCTCCAGCAGGCCACAAATGTGCATGTGTCTGCTCAAACGGTCATAAACAGACTCCATGAGGGTGGTATGAGGGCCCGACGTCCACAGGTGGGGGTTGTGCTTACAGACCAACACCGTGCAGGACGTTTGGCATTTGCCAGAGAACACCAAGATTTGCAAATTCGCCACTAGCGCCCTGTGCTCTTCACAGATGAAAGCAGGTTCACACTGAGCACATGTGACAGACGTGACAGTCTGGAGACGCTGTGGAGAACGTTCTGCTTCCTGCAACATCCTCCAGCATGACTGGTTTGGCAGTGGGTCAGTAATGGTGTGGGGTGGCATTTCTTTGGGGGGCCGCACAGCCCTCCATGTGCTCGCCAGAGGTACCGAGATGAGATCCTCAGACCCCTTGTGAGACCATATGCTGGTACCGTTGGCCCTGGGTTCCTCCTAATGCAAGACAATACTAGACCTCATGTGGCTGGAGTGTGTCAGCAGTTCCTGCAAGGCGAAGGCATTGATGCTATGCACTGGCCCACCCGTTCCCCAGACCTGAATCCAACTGAGCACATCTGGGACATCATGTCTCGCTCCATCCACCAATGTCCCGTTGCACCACAGATTGTCCAGGCTTTGGCAGATACTTTAGTCCAGGTCTGGGAGGAGATCCCTCAGGAGACCATCCGCCACCTCATCAGGAGCATGCACAGGCGTTGTAGGGAGGTCATACAGGCACGTGGAGGCCACACACTACTGAGCCTCATTTTGACTTGTTTTAAGGACATTACATCAAAGTTGGATCAGTCTGTAGTGTGTTTTCCACTTTAATTTTGAGTGTGACTCCAAATCCAGACCTCCATGGGTTGAAAAATTTGATTTCCATTTTTTAATTTTTGTGTGATTTTGTTGTCAGCAAATTGATCTACCACAATAACAAACTGTCCAATATCCCCAGTATTATTTATCTAGATGTTTTATTGTAAATTTTACTGTAAATTTTACTGCAATCACTTATTTGTAATTTGGGAGCTCTGATAAAACAAAAATGAATATAATGCTGTTCAGAGTATGTGATAATTAACTTCCACTAAGAACTTGATATTTCCTCAGTTGAACTAATTAGCTATCAGCATTACTGAGGACACTGAGAGGAGGAAATACTATATGTGAACTGCATCACTGGGGAATTCTTTCAATATGCACATGTATTTTAGATTGGTCATAAAGTGTATCATTTGTTTATAGCAATATCCTGAAATGACATGAACACATGACTGAAAAGGAGATTAAACAAAGTTGTTTAGTCATGGCGAGGTATCATATTTGAAATACCTTGCTAATATGAAAATCCACTTCTTTAGTTTCGGATTCATTAAATTTATACAGCCAGTTTCCTTTGAAATAGGCAGCTCCAATCATTAGGATTTTAGAGTTCTCATCACATGTCCCTTCATTCAAAATGTTCTCAAATTTTCCTACAGAAAACAAAATGTTAAATACTTGTTAAAAACAATTCTAAAATACTAAATAAAATGTGTTCTGCTCTTTAAAATGTCCAATAACCAAGTCTTTCAATGTATTTAATTCAGTTAAGATAAATAATTTGTTTAAATGTACTGTATAACATTGTACCTCTTTTATGTAGTAATAATTTACATCCGGATGAGGCCCAAAAGTGATAAAATAAGCACAATGTCGTTAGAGAAACCACGAGCAGAGGGAAGACTTAGTGGGGACGTAGTACTTTTTTACTCGTTCACAGGTACCACTGCGTCAACTCAACTTTAATGTAAACTTCTCTTTAATTTTGTTTAGTATTCTTGAAAATGTACTATAGTATGCATACATTTCTATGCTGATGTCTTGTTTATATATTTATTCACTTATATTTATTTTTTTACTTTTTTTTTCATGCAGATAATATTTTGGCTTTATATAGTTTGTAGTACTGCAACAGCAAAAGTGCAAATACTATATTCTCACACTTACCATCAGTGAGCTCTTTTATTGATGTATTTATCTTGTTTCTTGCTTCTTCTGGCTGGCTTTGAATGTCAATTGATTCCAGCTCACCTGGATATGGCTTCTTTGTTGAGTCTATAAATGTCTAAATAAATACCAAATTGTCAAGAATTACAAAAAATCCTTTTTTCCTTATTTCCTGAAATCAACTGTACCTTATCCTTACTTTTTTAGGGAAGCAGTTAACGCAGTTAAAATGTATTTCTGTGTATAGAAAGAAAGGTTAAAGAATAGATTTCTATACTGTGAATGCCAGAAACTCAGTATAGCGCGGTCTCCATGGCTAGTTGGAGAAGGTGTAACATCAAGACACCTAGCAATATATATCTGCATACCTAATATATTGTAAGCTTGTTTAACCTCTAAATATCCCCTTTCTAAAATTGTAGAGCTATTTTATATATTGGCGCTTTATACACGTGTTGAACTGTGGTGCATTTTCTGGTCTCTGCGTCATCAGAATGCATAGAATTAAAGAATAAAGCATACAGGTAATCCATTCTGGAATGATGTCAGAAAGAGTATTGTTGGAGAAGGGAGGTTCTATTGGGAGGCAGTTGATACATATTCCTGGTTGTTAACGTTACGCCAACAAATTTGAATATTTATAATGTCTAAGTTGTAATTAGAATTCTCATATAAGCAAAGAAGATTAGACTAGAATTAATGATCCTCTCAGGCATGATAATAATACAATACGATAACATTACCATATGCTCTAAGAATTTAATTTATGCCAGTTAAACTGAAATTTATTAAGTATATGCAAATTAAAATGTTTATTGAATAAATGTTTGTGTTTATTGAAGGAAGCAAAACCTTTTGAATTATATAAAAAATTATAACTATTGCAGTATTCCCTACTGGTTCCACATTCTGCTAACACATCATTGTCAAAAAAGACGGCATTTCATATCCCATAAAACTGACGTGTTGCTTTGTGTGAAACCACTAGATGTCAGACTTGCTCTTGAACAGTGTACTGGTACAAGTATGCATTTCCGCTCAGTGATCAAAATGGATGTGTAGAAAATGAAAAAACTAAAGAGGTTAAATGATTATTAAATATAAAAAAGGCTTTGATCCATTAGCCCATTTAAAAAGTTACTCAAAGTTCAGTGTTTTGAAGTGTTCATGGTGCTTGGAGTCTTGATGTGCAGTGTTTCAGTTTAAAATGTGACACAAACATGAATATAGGACATTGCTGACAGTGTCATTAGCTAGGCCAGAAGGAGATTCCCAAGCTGGCAAATGTTAATTCTGTGCATATTGGGTGTCTATTCTCACAGCACACATAGCATAGCCAAGTCCACCTCTTTGGCCATTCTCTGGAATGTGTACTCCCTTCTCCAGTGAGAGGGGTGATGTCACTGGAGATTGATTGACTACAGATAAAATGTAATCCTGGCATGGAATCTAAAGTAAGCTTTTGCTTTATTCATTTTTTAACCCTCTCTTATGGGTGTGTGTGGGGGCAGGGCATGCCTTCAACACGTAATCCATCTAAAAATAATGGTGTATTAAAAACATTTTTTTGTTGTTGAAGAAACCCTTTAATTTATGTGTCTTTAGTTAGCATTTGCATTTCTAGCTAAATGAGTAGTAATTCAACAAGTTCCAAGTTCAAATTGCAAAAATTGGGGATCATTTGTAAATTTGACTGGAATTTACAAGTTAGAGATTTACCTTAGATGTACTTATTTGGAAAGTAAGGATTTCCCTCTCAACTCCGTCATACAGCTCACTTTATGCACTTAATGCCCTTTCCTCATCATTACTTAGTTATTTCAAGGCATACATTCACGTTTAATAACTAATATATCTTTTAATTAAAATAAATTGCAGATTATGAAAAAAAGTAACTGCAAATTTATTGTTGAAAAAAACTAGGAACTAGGAAGACGGTTTCAGGTGGAGTAGCTCTAGTAAATGTTCAGACTTGACTGCACAGGCTGACTTCCCAATAAGTTCAACATAGTTTTCAGTCTTCTTAGGTCAATATCGTGAGTACCATTATATGGTGTTAGCAGGGTCGGATTAACATAGGGGCTGATGGAGCTGCAGCCAGGCCCATGGAATAGGCCCATTGAAAAATAGGCCCATGGAATAGGCCCATTGAAAAAATATATATATTATATTTTGTTTTTTTTACACACTACTCTTAGGTTTTGACTGGTATTTTAAGGCACAGTCGGTATTTGAGGCTGCCTGGCCGTGACGGTATTGCAGTAATAACGGCAATACAAATGCAAATATTTTTCTCAGTATAAATGGAGATTTCTCTGCAATACCAGCACCGGCCAGTAGGGGTCACTGTGTATGGAGAGAGGCAGGGATAGGAAGTTGCAGCATCTCCCTGCCTCTCTCTACTCACTGATCCGTGGGGGAGCAGCTACACAGCACAGACAGTCCTGACAGCAGCTCCCAGCCTGCAGAGACAGGCTACAGCTCAGGTATGTGAAGGATGGGGAGAAAGGCAGCAGGGAGACATGGGGACACTGAGACACTAGGGGACACATGGGGACACAGACACTTGGGGACACTGGGAAACATGGGGACTCTGAGACACATGGGGACGCTGTAAGACATAGGTAGACACATTGGGACAAGGAGACACTAGGGACACAGTGTTTCCATGTCTCCCAGTCAGTGTCCCTAGTGTCTCAGTGTCCCCTAGTCTCCCAGTGTCCCCTAGTCGCCCAGTATCTGTGTCCCCATATCTCCCAGTGTCCCCAATTGTCTGTGTCCCCATGTCTCCCAGCCAGTGTCTTGGTGTCCCCATGTCTCCCAGTGTCCTTATGTCTCCCAGCCAGTGTCCCTAGTGTCTGTGTCCCCATGTCTCCCAGTGTCTGCGTCCTCATGTCTCTGTGTCCCTAGTGTCCCCATGTCTCCCAGTGTCCCCAAATGTCTGTGTCCCCATGTCTATGTCCACATTAGTGCCCCCATGTGTCCCCAAGTGTCTGTGTCCCCATGCCTCTCAGCCAGTGTCCCTAGTGTCACAGTCTCAGTGTCTGTGTTTCCATGTCTCTGTGTCCCTAATGTCTTAGTTTCCCCAAATGTCTGTGTCCCCATGTCTCCCAGTGTCTGTGTCCCCATGTCTCTGTGTCCCGAGTGTCTGTGACCCCATTTCTCCCAGTGTCCCCAAATGTCTGTGTCCCCATGTCTCCCAGTGTCTCCATGTCTCCTAGTGTCCCCATGTCTGTATCCACAAGTGCCCCCATGTCTCCCAGTGTCCTCGTGTCTTAGTATCCCCTAGTGGCGTACATACCAGGGTCGCAGGGGTCGCGGCTGTGACCGGGCCCGGCCCACCAGGGGGCCCGGCCGCCCCTGCAACCCGGTATGTACCCACAGGGCCAGCCTCTTCTCCAGGGGGGCCAAGGAACCGGCCACCTCACGCCCCCCCGAGGCTGGCCCTGCTGACACCCGGCAGGCGGGTGGGCGGGCTGACTGTCTGGGTGGCCAGCGCGCGAGGGAGCACTCTGCTCTGAGTGCTTCCCCTTCAGCTCCCTCGCGCACCGCGTAGGGATGCCGGAGCCGGAAGATGACGTCATCTTCCGGCTCCGGTATCAGTGCGGTGCGCGAGGGAGCTGAAGAGGAAGTACTCAGAGCAGAGTGCTCCCTCGCGCGCCGGCCACCCAGACAGCCAGCCCGCCCAGTGACCTGCCGCCCAGGAGCCCAGCCGCACCACTGGACCCCAGGGAATCCCCCCAGCACTCCAAAAGGTAAGGAGGCTGGGGGGATTAAATTTAAAAAAAAATGTGTTTGTGTGTGTGTTAGTGTGTGTGTTAGTGTTTGTGTGTGTGTTAGAGTGTGTGTGTTTGTGTTTGTGTGTGTGTTTGTGTGTGTGTGTTTGTGTGTGTTAGTGTGTGTGTTTGTGTGTGTGTGTGTGTTTGTGTTTGTGTTAGTATGTGTGTGTTAGTGTGTGTGTGTGTGTGTTAGTGTGTGTGTGTTTGTGTGTGTGTGTGTTAGAGTGTTTGTGTGTATGTGTGTGTTAGTGTGTGTGTGTTAGTGTGTGTGTGTTAGTGTGTGTGTGTGTGTGTTTGTGTGTGTTTGTGTGTGTTAGTGTGTGTGTGTTAGTGTGTGTGTTAGTGTGTGTGTGTTAGTGTGTGTGTGTGTGTTAGTGTGTGTGTTAGTGTGTCTGTTATTGGATGTGTGTCTGCTAGTGAGTGTCAGTGAGTGTGTTACTGAGTATGTTTGATGTCTGTTATTGGGTGTGTGTTTGTCAGTGAAAGTGTATGTTTTGTAAGTGAGTGTGTATGTTTGTCTGTCACTGAGTGTGTGTCTGTCAGTAAATGTGTGTGTCTGTTAGCTAATGTGTATGCGTCTGTTTGTGAGAGTGTGTGTGTGTGTGTCTTCAGCATTTACCTTTCTCCAGCGCCAGACTCCCTTGGCGGTGGGGATCCCTCTGTATCTCAGCTCCGAATGCACATGTGCGGCAAAAGGTGCGCGCGCATTTAAACTGCCCATAGAAAAGCATTACTCAATGCTTTCCTATGGACGTTCAGTGTCTTCTCACTGTGATTTTCACAGTGAGAATCGTGGAAGCTCCTATAGCAGCTGTCAATGAGACAGCCACCAGAGGCTGGATTAACCCTCAGTGAAACATAGCCGTTTCTCTGAAACAGCTATGTTTTCAGCTGCAGGGTTAGAACTAGAGGGACCTGCACCCAGACCACTTAATTGAGCTGATGTGATCTGGGTGTCTGTAGTGGTCCTTTAAATGACCACTATAGGCACCCAGACCACGTTAGCTTAATGAAGTGGTCTGGGTGCCTGGTCCAGCTAGGATTAACCCTTTTTTTTTTTTTTTATAAACATAGCAGTTTCAGAGAAACTGCTATGTTTACACTGAGGGTTAATCCAGCCTCTAAAGCCTCTAGTGGCTGTCTCAGCACCGGGGCCCCATGGGTCATGTGGACGCCACTGGTGTCCCTTAGTATCCTAGTGACACGGGACACACTGAGACATGGGGACACTGGGAGAAATAGGGAAACAGACACTGGGAGACTAAGGGACTGGGTGACATGGGGACATTGACACTGTGATACATAGGGATACTGATGCCAGGCTGGCCTTCCAATTCTTTGGACAGACATGCCCCCTTTTTGGGCATGTTTGCCCCTTTTGGCAGTTCTGGTCACGTGATTCGCGTCAGTGGCTCACCATTTTACCCTGCCCATTGACTTCCTGCTTTACTGGACACTGCTGTTAGGGGGTATGGATTTACTTAAAAGATGAAAGCATAAATTAGATAAAGAGATTAGCATAGAGTATGTGTTTTCTTATAGCTGCATCCTTTGAGTTTCCCTCCAACACCATCTCCATCAGATACATGATGCTTGAGAGGTATGACTGTTTGTGTTTTTGGTCGATAAGATCCTGGAATTAGGCCCCATCGTAATTGTCAGCACCAGGCCCACTGGGTTCTTAATCTGGCCCTGGGTGTTAGTTCAGGCTATACTTTGCGTCAAGTTATATATCCATCTCTGTCTTCTATTCCATGCTAATTTTTATGTTGTATGATGTTTATAACCTGTCCTACCTTGCTCCCCTGTTTTATCAGTCTGCCATCCACATGTATTTGGTAAGCATCTTTTTACATAGTTCAGCTTTTCATGTAGCTATATGTTTCTAGTGAAAAATCCCCCCACCAAAAAAAATTAATACGTAAACCTACATATTCCAAAAATAAATGTATTCTTTACTTTACCTTAGTGCAGCTGAGACTGTTTTCTATGTAAAGACGTTTAACGATTTTCAGAGAGTATACAGAACTAATTTTGGAAATATCTGAAGTAAGAGTCTGAAATCCAAAGTCACAATCTTTGACTTTCTCAAAGTGAAGCACCTGTTAATTGATAATGAAGCATGTATTAATAATACAGTAAATAGCTATATAAAGATTGTTCAAAAGTATCCTGATCAAAGTGAAGCACCTGTTTCCTATGGGAAAGCACTGGATTGGCTAAAAAAAAAAATCATCATGTTGATGATGTTACCAAGGAGGCGGATCGGGGTGGGCCAGCACTGGTGGATCCGTGCAGCGCTGGAAATAAGGTGAATTTTAACATTTTCTAAGGGGGCTAAGGGGGCAAGACACCTAAATGATGGATTAAACACTATAGGTTTAGGAATACATGTTTGTGTTTCTGACCCTATAATGTTCCTTTAAGAATATGCCACTGTTATTATCATGTAATAAGATGCATAGAAAAAGTCAATTGACAATACTCAATGCGATGCAAACAGAATTATTACCTTTTCAAAGTTGGCAGCAGTGCTTTCTTTGGATCCTTTCATAGCTAGAGCTAGAGAGCCTGATATGCATAATGGCGAGAAAATTATATTTTCTGATTTTTTTTGTTCAAAAAGTATTTTCCAGATATCCACAGCCAAGGCTGTATTTGCTAAACGAAGAGCATCCATGACCTGAAATACAAGACTGACACATATTATATGCTGCAGAACAAGGTATATACGGAAGGTGACTCTGAACTTTATTTTTTTAGAATTTGCTTCTAAAATACGTAAACTCAATATTTTTTAAACTATTCTATATTCACCACCACAAACATCTGCAATGCCAAATATAACCACCAATAATCTAACCTAACATAATTATACTGAAAGAAAACTTCAGGGCCGATTTTTCCACCTGTTTTTTTTTTTTTCATGTTTGATCTTTATTAAGATTTTTTTGCAAAAAATATATTACCAAGGATAACAAGTAAAGGTAGCATATAGAATTACCCTATCCCCACCTGTACACGTGTAATAGTAGCTGGTGTACCTATCACCAGCTACTAATTACAACAAACATACCAGGATGAATAGTGTTCAGAATCTGTTTAACTCACAGTTTATCAAGCATACATGAAAAATGTAACTTGGGTAGCAAGAGGTATGTTATACTGTTTGGGTATTCGCCAACACATCGGTAAAAGTAGACAGAAAATCAAATAACTAAAAGAGCTATAGGAAGTCAAAAGAAGGATAAAAGAAAACTAAAGAAAGATAAAAAGTAAAGCACCTGTTGGTGTGCATTATTAGTGCAAGATATAAGTAGTGCTGCCATCTACTGACAGTGTTCTTACATTCATTTATGTTCATTTAAATTCCATGCCATTGTATGAGAAACCAGTGTTACAATGTGAGAGTATCATCTGTGTTTTTTTGTGTTTAGTGTTTGTGAGCCAGTTGAAATATTAAAGGGAAACTATAGTCACTGGAACAACTACAGCTTCTGGTGAGTAGAATCATTCCCTTCAGCCAATTTCATGCCCTCTATGGATACCTCCAGTGGCCACTCCTCAGATGGTCACTGGAGGTGCTTCCTGAGGCTTTGCTGCTCATTAGGCAGCACTGCCATTCAGCTTCTCCACAATCTGCATGGAGACGCTAACATTTTCTCACAGAGATGCATTGATTCAGGGCATAACCCTAGATAATCAAGAAAGACAAAATTCAATGCATCTCTATGAGCAGGTGCTCATTGGTCAAAAAAGTGTTTGGCCCCATCCCACTTCCCTGTCGATTTCAGACAATCTAATGGTTTCTAAATGGGAAAGTATTGCATTTGATAAAAATCGTACATTCTGATGATATCACCAAGGAGGCGGATTGGGGGTGGGGACAGAAATAAGGTATGTTTTAACCCCTTTAAAGGGGGCTAAGGAGGGAAAGCCACCTAAATAGTGATTTGAACACTATATGGTCAGAAATACATGAATGTGTTCCTGACCCTATAGTGTTCCTTTAATGTTCAGAGCTACTATGTGAATGCCTAAACTGACAAATTAAAAAATGGAAAACACATAGGGTGCAAGTAATTTTCCTGCATCATCTCCAAAAGACAGGAAAGGAGATATAGAATTATATCTTATAGTAAATAATGGGTAGAACTGAGCTAGAGGCAGGGAGCAGAGAATCACTGTGTATTCACACACACCTCTAACTATCTGAGCTAGTGTAGCACGCTGTAAATAAACATTAGTATGGACTGCAAACCTAAGCTTTCACATGAGCAGAATTGCAGGAAACAAATTATTAGAATTGGATATAAGGAGCTTTCCAGAATGGCTCGGACTGGCCATCGGGCAAACCGGGCAAATGCCCGGTGGGCTGTGATGGCCACAGGCCGAGGCTGGGGAGATCCAGCTGGTCTATGCTGTGTTCCATGAAGTGCCAGTGGGGAGATCAAAGATCTCCCTCACCGGCCCACATGCTCTCAAAAGTGGCCGCCAGCAGGGAGAGAGGGAGGGAGACAGCCAGGCTGGAGAGAGGACCCGGCGGAGCGATAACTTGCAGCTCCGCTGGATTACTCTTGCAAGATCCGGACCGTTACCGTGGCAACTGGCCGGGTCTCGCGAGAGTGAACTCTAGCCCCAAAGGGCTAGAGTTCACTTACCACGAGGACCACCAGGGATGGATGTCAGCAGCACAGCCCCCTTCCAGGCTACAGGTAAGAATGGAGGGGGATATAATGTATTTATTTTTCTAATTAAAAAAAAGACATTAATACTGGCATTTACCTGCCTCCCCCAATACACAATCCTTGCAGACACACACATCACCCTCACCCAGCACCCTAACACTCACACATCACCCTAACACACACACAGCACCCTAACACATACACAGCACCCTAACACATACACAGCACCCTAGCACATACACAGCACCCTAGCACACACACAGCACCCTAGCACACACACAGCACCCTAGCACACACACACACAGCACCCTAACACACACACACACAGCACCCTAACACATACACAGCACACTAACACATAAACAGCACCCTAACACATACACAGCACCCTAACACATACACAGCACCCTAACACATATCACCCTAACACACATCACCCTAACACACACATCACCCTAACACACACAGCACCCTAACACACACACATCACTCCAACACACATCACCCTCACACACACATCACCCTCAAATACACAGAACCCTCACACAGCACCCTAACACACACACAGCACCATAACACACACAGCACCCTCACTCACACAGCACCCTCACTCACACAGTACCCTAAAACACACACAGCACCCCATCACCCTCACTCACACAGCACCCTCAAATACACAGAACCCTCACACCGCACCCTAACACACACATACTGCACCCTCACACACACATAGCACCCTCACACACATACTATACTCCTCACAAATGCACACTACACCCCTCACACACACAGCTGCCCCAAAACATGCTGCACCACTCACACACACACTCTCCTATACGCACTCCTGAGACCTTCAAACACACACTAGATCCCCTATACACAGACGCTGCACCACCTACACACACACTACATTTCTGACATTCACACTCAGGATCCCCTATGATCCCCTATGAACACACTAGATTCCATTTAAGCAAACACATAGTGTCTCCATAAATGGGATACAGTGAGTATTCCAATTATGGAAACCCCTGAGACAAGTTTCAAGCAAACACAACACAAGCATGTTGTAGCGGAACGCCAATAATAAATCCACGAATTCCGCTGGTTCAGGAAATAATCCACAGTCAAGCGCTGAAACAACAAGGCAATATCCCCAACCTCCCAGTAACCGGACGAGACACAGTTCTGAGAGTCAACTGAAATCCTTTAATTCGGCTGGACAATTTATACAAGTCCCCATGCAAGGGGTTTCCTGAGTCCCTTCCCAGGGGCACTCCCAGAGGGGACTACATGGGGGACTTACATGACAACATATTTCTCCCATCAGGCACTGCTGCACGAGAGGGATCCTCCTCCCAGAACACACCGTTAAGTGGATTATCCCCTCGTGCAGCAGAACTGACAATTTATACAAAAATCCATAACTGGGTTAATATACGGTGGATTTACACGAATGGACGTTCGGTAGATAGCTGGGGTCTGAGCGCATCATTCGTGAGATTACCGCTCAGATCCCAGCTAAAATAACCGAACGCCGCACAAAAAACACATTTCTTATAAAACATATAAAAAGGACCGATTGCTTTCAGGGAACAAAATCCCGAATGGCCCGAAACTCCCGAACGTCCTGGAAGCTCAGCAGTGTTCGTGCCGTCGAGTAGCCGTTTTTAGTACCATGCGCTCGACGACCTAACACCGCTGAGGGAACAAAGGATCCAAGATGGCCGACCGCCGCATGGTCGGTAGTCGAACGACGGCCACCAAGGAGAGCCTCTAATTACCGATTGCAACATTGTTGCAATCGGTTAACTAGCGCCACACGCCTCTAAGTGTGTGGGCTATTAGGGGTATTGCGTTCGGTTCACGAACGGCCCTCCAAAGTGCCGTTCGTGAAACGAAAGAGAAACCCCCATACAAACCGCCATTTGCATTCGGCGGAAAAGGCAATTACAGGCAATGCAGAGAATATATAAAGCATACACATATAGAGTAAAGCACATATCTCCCCAGACCTATAGGCAACCCTTAAAGGCATAGTCTATAGTTATAATCCAAGTGGCTAGGTTTGCCACACATGTTATTAAATTTGCTTGCACTGTGCAGATCAAATACAAGGCCCTTTTCTCATGCCCTGGAAGAGCATTGAATAAACATGCTCACTTTGAGATGGGGCGTGCTTGTCATTGGGGATGACAAAACACACCCTATCTGACCCCGCCCCCTTTTCAGTGGGCCACTGTGAATAAAAAAAATGACCGGGCCGAATTTTTTCCCCAGTCTGGCCCTGCCAGAACCCGTCGAGCTATTAGCAGTGTGGTTGCTCTTAAGAAACCAAGCAAGCTGTGTTTTTGTTTAGTGATCTTAAGGACTTAAACAAAACATAAAAATGCTGGTACTGTATAGTGCCCAGTACAGAGGAAACAATACAAAATGAATCATTAAATATGGCTCTACATACAAACACACGTCAGCCTCTGTGAGAACAATTGATTGCTGCAAGGAAAGAGAGGGTATGTAGTTAATCAGTATACATAGCACCAAATGGACCTAAGAGTCAAGGTAATGTCAGCCTGTATGAGGCATGAAGGGCTATTTAAATGAGTCAAATAAAACCTGTTGGGTGGCCAGGTGACCAAAAAGGTATATACAATATAGCTGATTAGAAAAAGATGAAAAATGCTATTACCAGTAAAAGACTGGCAAAAACTTAAAATATCAAAGCCTCTCTCCCTGTTAAAGGACCACTATAGTGCCAGGAAAACATACTCGTTTTCCTGGCACTATAGTGCCCTGAGGGTGCCCCCACCCTCAGGGACCCCCTCCCGCCCGGCTCTGGAAGGGGGAAAGGGGTTTAAACTTACCTTTTTCCGGCGGAGAGCTCTCCTCCTCCTCTCCGCCTCCGTTACGCCCCGCCGGCTGAATGCGACGCGCGGCAAGAGCTGCGCGCGCATTCAGCGGTCTCATAGGAAAGCATTTACAATGCTTTCCTATGGACGCTCGTGCTCTCACTGTGATTTTCACAGTGAGAAGCACGCAAGCGCCTCTAGTGGCTGTCAATGAGACAGCCACTAGAGGATTAGGGGGAAGGCTTAACCCATTCATAATTATAGCAGTTTCTCTGAAACTGCTATAATTATGAAAAAATGGGTTAACCCTAGAAGGACCTGGCACCCAGACAACTTCATTAAGCTGAAGTGGTCTGGGTGCCTAGAGTGGTCCTTTAAGCTTGCTAGACAGACATAGGAGGAAAGATCAGAATTAAAAATCAAAGTGAACCATCAAAGCAACATACTAACCATTAATGAAACATAAAGTGCCCAGTGATAAAACAAAAAGCAAGAACGCACAATGCGTTTCGGTGCAGAACTACATGCACCTTTGTCAGGGGTTTTGTCTTTCTTGATTATCTAGGGTTATGCCCTGAGAGACCCCTGGAGTCTCTCTTTGGTGCCTAGGAGCATTGGGAACACTCGGACACATTTCACTTAGAATTGTGTCTATAGTTGTTTCCCTTTGGTATCCTTCCTCTTTACTTTTTAGAAAAAAAACATAGCAAAGCAAACCAGTAGCATTACGTGCAGAACAGAGCAGAAACATGCAAGAACTACATTTCCATAGTATTTAGCTTAGAAACTCATGCTAGACAAGAAAGTTATTTATATCAAATTTGACCTGAAGCTGCTGGAAAGTATCTAAAACATCTACTCAATGCCCCCAAGCAACCTCTGTGCATGGTGCAATGATTGCAGAAATATAATTTAAAGGTGATTTTTAAGAAATATTCAGATATATTCCCTTCTGATGTCATAAACTGAGTAGCTCAAACTACACTCCCCAGGCTACCAAAAATAGAGTCAAAGTAACATTGGACTTTTGGAAATTAAATAAACCTTAAGAATGGAATTTTCTGGGGGCGGGACGTGACAACCAAGATGGTGAGACCTGTATTCTGTTAGCTCCTTCCAGCTTGAACTAAAATCGTGGAAATACCTTGGTTAATCCAAATGGACACAACTCTAAGATGGCGGACGCACTTCAACCTCAACAAGCCCAAGCTGGTCTGGAGGCCCTGTCATGGAGAGAGACCTGCGAGGCTAAATTTGAGAAGGTCTGTCAAGCCTTTTGGCTCCGCTTACAAAGACATTTTCTCCAGCCTACTGCCCTGGAGAGCCAGGCTGCAACAGAGGCTAATCGACCTCCCTCCAGGTGTGGGTCCTACTGGAGCTGAATCTGACCCAATGCACTCAAACCCAGAGGAGCTCCTGGCTTACGGTGGTCCGACTCCAGCGACAATCACTGAGATCTCTCTCTGCAACATCACCCCCGTCTGACCCCCGAAGTACAGCTATGCCACGATCAGCTGGGCAAGACCACATTGCAGAGTGGATGGTAAGGAGACAGAGGCAGGAGCCTCTACAGTGGCACCAATTCCCGCAACACGATCCGGCTGTGAGGCGAGCGTTCTCTGGGCCACAGCACATCAAGGAACATCCCCACGTCTGCCGCTCACACCCTTGGGAAGCTCTTACTCAGCGAGCACTGCAATAGCCTGTTAATGAGCCCCGAAATCAAGCTCAGGCCACTGAATGAAAAGGGACTAGGGATTGTCTTCCTGCAGGTACCAATGGCCTCCTCATGCTGGGGATCAGATAGATGGGGACTTTCACTGCTTAGAGACCTCCAGCCTTGGTGTTAGCCCAGTGGAACTTTACTCTTAAATGTCACCAGCCTATGTTTTGTTTTTTATAATTCTTTATTTTTGTAGTGCATATAGAGTGTTACAAATAAGCCTGCAATGCCCCAACAGTCAAGGCAGGCACAACAAGTACAGTAGAAAAAAACATGTGGCACTGTGAGAGTAAGGCACTACATTCAGGTTAGGCACATATGTCTGTAGTCGGTAGGTTCAGTTAAACAAGAATGTGAGTTAGCTTTTCTAGACACCTTCCAGCGGGCTGTGATCTAGACTGCTGCTTGGGGGAATCCCTGCTTGGATGTGGGTGTCATCAGGCTTGTTTTTGTTGGCGTTGTGAAACCGGTTGAGAAGTCTGATGACCACTTTAGGAGTTACGTGAACCCCCTGGGCGTCCCACCCAGGAGGGGGGCACTGAACAGGAGCTTCATCTGGGGGTTGCGCCATGGATGCGGGATTTGTAGGCGACTGTTCATGCTCATCCTAGCCTCTCAAATTCTGCTTGCACATGATGTCGAATCTGAGCAGGAATACTACTTCCCAGTTGCTGGTTTGTAAGTGAGCTCGTGCAGCGTTATCGTCGGCCATTTCGGGGATGCTGCATGTAGGTCACCTTTACTGGTGACCTGGTGTCGCCCAGGAGTGCCGCAGATGTAAGTACTCGCTTGGTGGGGACCGGGATATCCCCCGCCGGTCCAGGGGGAGGAGGGAGTACGAGGCTCGGACTGTTGACAAGAGGACTGTTTTGGGTTATTTGCTTTTATATTTCAGGCAGGAGCTCAGTCTGCCTGCAAACTTCCAGGATGGTGTCCAAGCCCCGCCCCCTGTCACCAGCCTGTGTTATGACTTACTGCGTGTGTTCTAGATTATATTTTAGTTATTTTCATAAAGTGTTTATACCATGCCAGTTTTAATCTCTAACAGACAGAGCCGGTGCGTCCATAAGGCGGCACAGGCGGCCACCTTAGGCCGCACCAGCTCTGAGGGCGCAAGAGTTCAGTGACCGGTAGGAGGGAAGCGCTCCCTCCTGCCAGGCCACCTTCTGGACCCCCGGTGCGACTGTGTTCTAATCAGACGCGGCGAGGGAGCTCTAACTCTCTGCTCTGCTCCCTCGCGCTAAGTTTGCTGATGCTCGGGAGCCGGAATATGAAGTCATATTCCAGCTCCTGGCATCAGTAGACAGCCCGGGAGGGAGAAGAGCAGAAAGGTTTGAGCTCCCTCGCCGCGTCTGATTAGAACACAGCTCACCGCTGCAGTGAAGCCCACTGGACCCCAGGGACAGATCCACACCGGCTCTCCAGGTAGGGAGGCTGGGTGGAAATTTAATATTAATAATTTGTGTGTCTGTAAGTGTATTTGTGAGTGTGTGTGTGAGTGTGTGTGTTTATTTGTTAGTGTGTGTGTGAGTGTGTGTATGTGTTTGTAAGTGTGTGAGTGTGTATGTGTTTGTCTGTGAGTGTTTGTGTATGTGTTTGTCTGTGAGTGTTTGTGTATGTGTTTGTCTGTGAGTGTTTGTGTGTGTGTTTGTCTGTGAGTGTGTGTGTGTGTGTATGAATGTGAGTGTATGAATGTGTCTGTCAGTGTGAGTGTGTGTCTGTCTGTCAAATCAGTGAGAGTATGTTTGTCATTGAGTCTGTGTGTGACTCAGTGTGTCTGTCAATCAGTGTGTGTTAGATCAGTAAGGCTGTGTCTGTCAGTGATGTCTGTGTGTTTGTCATTGAGTGTGTGTGACTGTTAGTGTGTATACACCACTGAGTGTAGTGTGGTGGAGTGGAGCGCTGTACAAGACCATCTGTTTCCTGTACCCGGCCAGACTGACAGGAGGTGCCCACTCAGAGAGCACTTCCTGTCAGTCCAGCCGGAGACAGAACACTGAAGCTCCTATAGAGGATCTGCTCCGCTCGGCAACGCTACAGGAGAGGTAGAAGGCACACCGGGAAGGGGAGTGTGACCACTAAGGGGGTTGGGGTTGCAACAAGGGACAAGGAGGGGAGAGAAACACCAAGGGACAGGGAAACAAGGGGGGAGGGGAGAGGAACATTAAGGGACAGGGAAGGGGCTGGTTAAGAGGCACATAGGTGAAGATGTTATTTTTGGGGGGGGTGGAAAAATGCATCTTCGCCTGTGTGCCCAAAAATCCTTGCACCGGCCCTGCTAACAGACTTGTTAGTACTTCAGGTTACACATCAATGAGAGATACTAGCCTGTGTCTAAAGCATTTACAATTAGAGAGCGATATCCATGTCTGACTGTACCTACCTGCCTATAATCTTAGAATGTACCATTACTCAGACATGCCAGTTTAACCTGACTATATACTAAATAAGTAAAATAAAATAAAAAGTGTGCAGTTGAATCGATTTATCACACGTTTATGCTCTATAACAGTGATGGCAAACCTTGACACCATTAATTATTTCTGGACTACATTTTCCATGATGCTCAGCTAGCTTTTAGAGTCTAAAAGCTAGCTGAGCATCATGGGAAGTGTAGTCCAGAAACAATTTATGGTGTCAAGGTTTGCCATCATTAGTGTTCTATAATGTGCTTGACATTGCTGTTGGGGCAATACGGGCTTAATTGTATTGCTATGCACAACTAAAATAAATTATTTAAAAAAAAACAGAATGGAATTTTGTACAAAACTCCTAAAAGAACCATCTAAAATGTTAGGAGTCCAGATATGATAACAATTTATGCTGAACACCTAGAAGTGTAAACTTGTATTCACAGAGTAAGTTATTACTTTGATATTTTGGATGTACATGGAGGCAAATGTGTGTGTCTGTCAGTGTGTGTCAAATCAGTGAGAGTGTGTGCCAGTGAATGTGTTTGTCAGTGTGTATTAAATCAGTGAGTGTGTCTGTCAGTGAGTGTGTGTGTGTGTGTGTCTGTCAGTGATTGTGTTTGTGTCAGTAAGTGTGTCTGTCAGTGTGTGTGAAATTAGTGAGTGTGAGCAGTGGCATACCTACCACGGTCGCAGGGGTCGCAGCTGCGACTGGGCCCGTCACTCAAGTGGCTTGGCCACAGATACGGCTCTAGCGACCATGGGCCACTGGCATTACTTCAGGGCCGGAGCTCTGCGCTGTGCTGCTCCCCACCTGCCTGTGTGTAGCACGGCCGAGTGTACCGATACTGTCTGAAAGTGCTCACTGAAAGAGTGCTTCCTGTCAGATGAGTACACCAACTGTGAGCTTGTAGGGGAGAAGGAAGAGACACATGGAGGGAATAGGACACCTGGAGAAGTGGGGGAAGGGAGGGAGTAAAACAGCACGAAGAACAATATCACACTTAGGACTCAGGATAACGTATAACCGGCCCTTAGAATGGCCAGACTTAACGTATCCAATAGTCAGAATACTTGCCGAGGTCAGGGATACAGAACGAGACACAACGATGAGGCAAAGCCAAAAGTCAAGGATACCAGAAGTCAGGGAAGTCAAACGAATCCAAAGTCAAATACCAGAAATACTACTAGCAGGAACACTCTCTTGGATAACCAACTAAGGGAAACCACGACAGGGCAATGAGAACAATGAGAAAAATTAGTTTAAATAACTATCTTGCAGATCCGATTGGCCGTAACCCGTCTTTGACCCCAAAATGTACATGCGCGTCTTTTGCATGACGTCACACGCACATTGACACCGTCAAAACAGTGGGCGGACGTGGGGCTACAATATAGCGTGGATCCGCAGCGACCGGCGTCCCCCGACATGTTGCAGCAGTCAGGCATACTGGCGCAGGACCGCTGAGTGGCACCTCCATTACTGCTAGAAAGGCAATTTTCAGTGCAAACATCACAAGGTGAGGATGAACATGTGACAACTTCTGTCTGTCAGTGGATGTGTGTGTCAAATCAGTTAGAGTTTTTCTGTGTGCATGTGATTGTGTCAGTGTCCTCTGTGTGTAAATGTGTGTATGTCACCTGGTGTCGGCAGTGCATTGCCCTCTGCCTACACTATAAGGTTCAGAGACCAGAAACCTTTGTAAGCTCTTCTGAGGTTAACACTGCAATGCAAGTCTAAATTCACTGGTTGAGAGCATCAGCTGATCACTCTCAGCCAATGAGCTAAGTGCCTACATCAGGAAAACTAACAGAACTTCCTGGGGGCAGGGAGAGGTGCCTGGCGGACCCTATTTAAGAAATCAAACCGTTCCAAGATGGTTTGACTCCTTACAATTGGAGGGTGCCAGGGGATTCCTGGCATCATAGTTATAGTGCCTAGTGTGTCACCTCAAAACATTTATCAAGTTTTGAAAGAAAATAGATTTCTTTGAAGTATATGTAAAACAATGAGACAAACTCATCCCTACCTGGTATACGACACGATCCTTCAACCATATACATGTACCTTAGTTGGATAGTGTTTTAAAACCAACATTTAGTCTCTGTGATCTTCCCTGCTTCACTCCTTGCATAGAAAAGGGAAGACCACAAACACTGTCTGACCAAGGTGCATGTATCCTGATCAACATTAAAATCACCTGCTTAGTATAGTGTAGGTCTCCCTCCTGCTGTCAAAACATCTCTGATGCGTTGAAGCATGGACTCCACAAGACCTATAAATGGGCCCTGTGGTATCTGACACCAAGACATAGCAGCAGAACCTTTAAAACCTGTAGTTGTGAGTTGGGGCCTCCATGGATCGAGTTCCAGCATATCCAGCAAATGGATTGAGATCTGAGGAATTTGGAGGTCAGGGCCACACCTTAAACTCTTTATTATGTTCCTCAAACCATTCCTGAAAAATATCTACAGTGTGGCAGGGTGCCTTATCCTCGTGAAAGGGGTCAATGCCATCAAGAAACTCCAAAGCATTAAAGGGATGGATGTGGTCTACAACACGTATGTGTCAAAGTAACATCCACTTGTATTCTAGGATCCAAGGTTTTCCAGCAGAACATAACCCAGAGCATAACAGTGCCTCCACCGGCCTGCCTTCTTTCCATAGTGCACCCTCCTACCATCTCTTCCCCAGGTAAACGATGAACACACATCCAGCAATCCACCTGATCTAAAAGAAAATATGATTCATCAGACCAGGCAACCTTCTTCCATTACTCCATGATCCAGTTCTCATGTCCGGAGGTGCATTTGGTGGTGGACAGGGGTCATGATGGACACTCTGTCATGTCTGCGGCAATGGAGTCCCATACATAGCAAACATGCTCTGTGTGTTCAGATAACTTTCACTCATGGTCAGCATTATGTTTTTTTTTAGCAATTTGAACTACAGTAGCTCTTCTGTGTGGTTGGTCCAGATGGGCTAGCCTTTAGTCTCTACATGATTCACCCATGACCCTGACTCCTGTTTTCCTTCCTTGCACCACTTTTAGTACGTACTAAACACTGCATAACAGGAACACCCCACAAGACTTGCCGTTTTGGAGCTGCCTTTGTCAAAGTCTCTCAGATCCTTTCATTGTCCATTATCCCTGCTTACAATACATGAATATCATGAGCCAACCGTTCATTTGCTACCAAATATATTCCACCCCTTTACAGGTACCATTGCAGAGATATAATCAATTGTATCACTTCACCTGTCACCGGTTTTAATGTTGTGGCTGATCAGTGTATATGGCTAAAGAATGTTGTCATTTACTAGTTATGGGTGAGTTTCTCTCCTTTATTTACATATACTTAGTTAAAAAAAAAAAAAAGAACAAGCCTGAAGAAGAACCTGGTGGTGATCAATTAAATATTAGTGCTAAAGAAAAAAGGTACACTATAGGCACCCAGACCACTTCATCTCATTGAAGTGGTCTGGGTGCAGTGCCCCTGTTAACAATCCTCACCTTAGTCATCACTTTCTACCATGTATTGCATGGCTTCCTCTGTGATGCAACTACCTTACCTTCTGTTTGAGTCACCCACCTACTGCAAGATTGTAAGATCACAAAAGCAGAGCACCCCATCAATTTGTTTCACTGTGAAGCTGCATTTTTAACATATTGAACATTATGAATTGTCTGTTAAACATCACTAACATCGAGGTATCTGGAGATACTAGGTCACCTGTGATAAATATTAAAGCCACCGTTGATGGGTGGGTGCTGGGAGGGCATTAGGCTCCCTTGGGTTATTAATTAGTGCGCCCAAATGCTGACCACAGATGGGGATCAGGAGGACACTAAGTTCCCCCAGTTCATTTTAATTACAGCGCCCACATCCTGGCCACGTGTCCCTCCCACAATATTATTTAATTGTTTACGTACCTTAGGGGCATGGGCTTACTTAGTTCCCCTTGCTTCATCATTTTATTTAGACCACCATTGTGTGGGCATCAGGGTATGGACATTGATCTGTCCACCACTGCTCTTTAAATAGGTGTGCATTACTAGTAAGTGACCATCAATCGCAGACATGCTTCTAGTCACACCATGGCAAGCGAGGGCATGGGGAAGATATAAATCTCCCTTTGTACTAATGTACAAGTTTGATAGTGCCACCAGTGGACATATAGCTGACCCCAAATCCTGAAGTAACTGGCCACTGGGAGTTTTGTTTTTTACGAGATTGCTACATGTGTCAGCGTGGAGTTCGAAATGGATTCTCCAAGTCTATTGCAAATTTTGTCTGGCAATCTACAATCCCCTGTATAAAACAAATGCTTGGTGTAACATTCCATGAGACAGTTCCAATATAATCCCCCTCTCCTGTCATCCCAGGCTTGTTCCTGATAACCAACTTATTAGATACACTTGCTCTGTGCAAACTGATTCGAGACTATTCTGTCCATGCATCATTGCTTCCACAGTGCTTCACACTTAGGCAGCAATGTGTGAGGATTGCATGCAAGTATGACAAGCTAGTACACCACCTGTTTGGGAAGGAAGGCCTTCTCTGTGTGGAATTTTCATACCCCCTTCTTCCCAAGAAAACTGTTCAGGAGCTGCATACATTAATCCATACAGTGCAGTTGGGAGAAGGAAATGATTTGCATTTGATCCGCATAAAGCAAATGGGCTGACCACAGATATTGCTGAAGAATTTGATTCTGAAGCAGTTTGTGGACAGAGCAAGAAAAAAGGTTAAAGGGAAATGTTTTTATATTGAAATGCGACAAATAATAATTGTGGGAGTGGCTTAAATTAATTAACTCCCCTATATAGGGGACACCCCCTACCTGACTCCATATCGCTTGAGGTCAGCATCAGAATGACCCTCCCACCACTGCTCATTTTCAACACTTTCTCTTTTCTTTCCATTTACTTTACTTTCTAAACTCCTTGGTGGGCCCTCTTTATTTACAGGCCTACCGTATCGTCGGTCTCGGCACACCACAACTGACTTGCTCCCATTATACTATCCTAAGCTTATGCTGGAACCTTACTCCATATACGGCTATTTGCCCCGAACACAAATACATATTGTTGATGGTGAAAGGTTAAACATGCATGGCGTATTAATTACCCCTGTGATATTGGATTTTTTTCTATTTTTTTTTTTGTCCTGTAACACTTTAAAGTATGTATGGGAGATTAATTTGCCATATTCGTGATACTTGAGTTATTGTAAATAGCTATTATCATGTTATACTGAGAACCTTCTTAAGAGTTTGCCAACAGAAACATTAAAATATATCTATTACAGAGGAGTACCACCTAAAGGGATAATTTAACTACTTCATTTAATTGATGTGTTTATAGCGTCTCAAGTCCCTTGGTGCCATTTTTCCATTCAGTGTTAAACCATTTTTAATCTTTTAATGTCAAACGAGAGTGTGTTGCTTAGGCTAACAATGAAGAATTACCCTGAGTAGCTGTGATTGGCTGAGAGTGTCAGCTGACCACTTTCAGCCTGTCACAGATTACCACTTTAGCCCATTCAGGAAGGAATTAAGAAGTGTGTAGTCTCTGCCTTCATCAGACATCTAGTGGGCTAGTGGAAACTAGTGACCCTCACGCAGTGTTAAACTGCTCAATGCCAGAGTATTTCAGGCACTATAACCAATTCAATAAGATGAAATAGTTATAGTGCCTACAGTGTCCCTTTAAGCATTGTGAGGATTAGGGACAGTCATAGGTGTCCGCATTGGGGGGGGGAGGGGGCACTTGCCGGTATTTTTTTTTCAGATTAAGAATACTTTGCAATAACGGCGCCGGAGAGAGGCAGGGATAAGAAGCTACATCTTATCTCTGCTTCTCTCTCCTGACTGAACCACAGGGGAGAAGCACAGAGTGCAGCCAGCAACTCCCAGCCTGCAGAGACAGCCTACAGATCAGGTAAGTGAGGCATAGGTTGGCAGCCTGCAAGGAGCAGGAAGGTAAAGTGGGAGAAGGAGCAGAAATGAGCAGGAAGGGTCAGCAAGAAGTAGGAAGGGTCAGCAAGGAGCAGGAAGAGTCGGCAAGTAGCAGGAAAGGTCTGCAAGAAGCTGGAAAGGGCAGCAAGGAGCAGGAAGGGACAGAAGGGGCACAAAGGTGAAGGAACACAAAGAATCAGGAGCACAAAGGTAAAGTAAAATAAGGAGCAGAAAGGAGAAGGAACAGACATGAGCAAGAAGGGACATCAAGGAGCAGAAAGGAGAAGGAACAGAAATGAGCAGGAAGGGACATAAAGGAGCAGGAAGGGTATGCAATGAGAAGGAAGGGTCTGCCCAGGTAAAAATAAATATCAGTGTTAATGTGTTCACTTTTATTTACAGAGTGTCAAGAAGCACTGAGTGCCACTGGGTAGGGGTGTCGCTGATCTAGAGCTAGAGTGGTCAGCTGGCACTTTAAGCCAATCAGTAGCTCCCCATTAATTAAAAAGTAAAACATTTTTATAAACCAGGAACTAGCGATTGGCTTAGAGTGTCAGCTGACCACTCTAGTTAATCAGCAGCACCCATGCCTGACGTCAATCTGCCCTTCCTGACACTCCATTTCAGAAGCCGGATATCACTGAGCAACTTGGAGATCTGGAGGAAGCCTTTGGGGTTAAACCATTTGAGAGCAGTTTAAACTCTTAAAGGAAAGAGCGCACCCAGGGGCCTCCTGGCATTATAGCATTTTCATGTAGAGGAAGTTGTTATGATGGTCAGAATGCTCCTTTAATTTGATTAAAGGAACACTATAGTGTCAGGAATACAAACATGTATTCACCCTGGCTTTATGTGATAATGACTATGCTCCTCCCCTTCATGACACTGTCAAAAAGTGGCCAAGCATGGATGTCATTGCAATTATGCT